TGGGAAGAGCCCCTGGATGGTCGCGAATTCTAGAAACCCCAACCCTGCAGTCCCAACAAAGCCACAGACCACAAAAGGCTGGTGGCAGAGCAGGGGCTGAGGAAGCAAGCGTCCAGCAGCATAACACCTAGGATCCAGAAGTTTCCAAGTACTCAGATCTTTGGGCTGTCACGAGACACATAACTGACCAAATTCTTGTGCTCTGACATTTGGGGCTGAATCGTCAAAACCTATGAATTACTACGAGCCCACAGTGCACGAAGGAAAAACAGCTCTGCTAAGTCCAGCTCCGTTGAGCTAAGGGTAGCATGGCTCTTACCCAATTCCTAAAGGTGGAGGAAGGAAGCTATTTACCTCCAGTGTGTGCACGAGGGAGAGATGCTCTCAACAACACATCAAGCTTACTTCCCCAAGTAGACTTCCTTGTCCGGACCATCTTGGTTTTGCTTTGTTTGGTTTGGTTTGTTTTTTTTTTTTAACCCTCTGCTAGTTCCTTTGCCTTTGAAATATCTTGACGGAGGGTGAAATCAAATGTAAACCCGGCGTTCACAAAAGTGAGAGATCGGCCAGCCTCGTGGCGGAGGGTAGAATTTCACCTTCGGCAAAGCAATGCTATTTACAAAAAGGTATTTTATTTCACTGTGGGTTTTTGGTCTGGGCTCATGAAGAACTTTTATAAAGTGGGACCCAGAGAGCACCGCGCTCCTCGGAGCCCGAGGAGGATTTGGCAAGAATTGTTCCACAAAAACAGGAAGAGAAATCCTTCTAGAGTGTTACCATCTCTTGCTATTTTACCACAGGCTGGTTTCATAACCACAAACTGTTCTTCTTCCCAGAGCTGCTAACCTGGGCGAGGAATGTACTCAGGAATCCATTCCTCCCACTGCTAAAAACTAGGTCATCCGACGCATGGGGACTCTGCATATTTCATTGTTGCTTTTTAAAAGCAGCAACAAAACAGCCCTCCTTTGGCTGTTTGTAGACACCTCAGTGGAACCAACAGACACTAAGAGTTGAGAAAAAAAAAAGGGGGGGAGGATGTTGCCAACAGAACCGCTTGCAAAGCAAAGACCCTGGTGGGGAAGGTGATGCATAAACCAGTCTGGGCTGGGCCAGGAGCCACACGGGGAGGGGGCAAAGAAAGGATCCTGGTTCATTTGTCCTCAAGGAGACCAAAGGTCACGGCAGCAAACAGACGGGCCACGTGGACAAAGGGAAGGACAAAGACAAGATAAATCTCTGGAGTTACTGTGGAACTCTAAATAAACCAGCACTGCTGTCTACAGATCCAGCCTGCTGGAGGCGGGGTGCTGGCAAGGCGGGGGGCAGGGTGGGGCCCGGGCCTCGCTCCCCCAGCCCCCTGGTTCCAGCCCATGTGTCTGACCAGCAAACATTACACCCATTTTCTCCATTGGTAGGGATGGACTGTGTTTTCAAAGTTTTTAAATAACCACCTTCTACTCCATTCCTGAAACTCGCCTTGCAGGCTCTCACTCTATCTCTTCCCGCCCCTGCATGCCTCCCCGGCGTGAGCTCCGAATCCCGCCATCTCTGAGGACCTGGAACCCTCTCCCCGCCGCCCACCGAGAAGCACCAGGGAGGAACACCTTGGTGACTGTCCGTACAGAGAGGGCACACAAATGGAGACCCTCGGCCTCAGCAGGACCAGTCACCAGCTGTCCGGCCGGGACCCCAAGGACGCTGTTTCTCCATGTGGTTCGAGACAAAGGCACAAAGGGTGTGACACCGAACGCCATTCAAAGGAAGTTTCCTGCCTCTCTATATCCCCAGCCCACCCCCCTCCCAAAATGACGAAAATAAAAAGCAAAACCCTGAAGCCCTCTTGAAGACGCACGCCCCCTTCTCCCCGGCGCTGGAAATTCACTGCCTGACAGCAAAGATCCGGAAGGCCTTTCCGTCTCGAGCGGTCCTCAAGCTGAAAAAGAAGGCAGAGGGCACATTACTGAAAGATCGGGAGGGCCTTCTACAGAGACCGGCTCTGGGAAGGGAGAGCGGGGTGCCCCGCATCCCCGAGGTGGGAGAACCGTGGCCGAGGGACAGAGGGACACCTCCCCGCGGCTGCTGGAAACACAGCTCCTGTCCCCGGGGCCGGGAAGAGCCGGCAGATTCCATTCTCTTTGTAAACGGGCCTGGGTCTGAATCTGGGTCAGGCCGGGCTGTGAAGTTCTTTTCTTTGAGCTCCATCTGGGTTTCGCTGGCCCCAGTCCGTCTGAACCGAGGGCACCCTCCGAGGCCTCTGCCTGGCGTTGGCTACCACCTGTCGACCTCCACGGTGGCCATCTGGCTGACGCTGAGCCGCGGGGACTGAAACAGCGCACGCCAACGGGGCCAGGACGCCGTGCCGAGCACCGCACAAAGCCCTCTGTACACGCCTTTTCACCTTCTTCCTCCGGTGGGTGCCATCGGTGACCTCGTTTTGCAGGTGAGAAAACAGCAGCAATAGAAAGCAAGGACTTACTACCCAAGGTCACACAGCTACCGAAGGTCACACAGCTGGTAACAGGCATTCTCTCAAGGCAGGAGTTAAAGCCTTCGGCTAACTGAAGGCTTTAAAAAAAAAGCAAACAAACGAACAGCTCTACTGATGGGGGCACCTGGGTGGGTCGGTCGAGTGGAGGACTCTCGATTTCGGCTCAGGTCATGATCTCAGGGCTGTGGGAGCGAGCCCCGTGTCGGGCTCCGCGCTGAGCATGGAGTCTGCTTGAGAGTCTCTCTCGCTCCCTCTGCCCCTCCCCTCCCAACACGTGCACACTCAATACAGAAATACGTAAATAAAAATTAAGAAACCCCAGCTCTACTGAGGTATAACATGCCATGAAATTCACCCTTTTTAAAGTGTACGATCCAGTGATTTTGAGTTATTTTATAGGGTTGTTCAGTCACCTCCACAAACTGGTTTTAGATGATTAGAATCACCCCAAAAGACTGTTCATGCCCAGTTTTAATCCGTTCCCCTCCCACTGGCCCCGGCAACTTCTGTCCATGCAGATCTGCCTGTCCTGGACGTTTCACGTGAACGGGATCATACGATATGCGGTCTGAGCGCCTGGCTTCTTTCGCTCAGCAGGATGGTTCTGAGGCTTATCCCATTCGGCAGCGTGATCCGTACTTCCCTCCTTTTTATGGCTGAATAATATTCCATCATAGGGGTAGCCCACGTTTTCTTTAGTCATTCCCCAGCTGACGGATATATAGATCCTCTCCACTTTGGGCATCTATGAAAAATGCTGCTGGGGACGTTTGTGGGTGCACGCTTGTAGGGACACGTTTTTCTTTTGGATATAGAGTGGCACCGCTGGGTCCATAGGTGAAACATATGTTCGCCTTTTTAAAAAGCTGCCCAACTGTTTTCCAAAGTAGCTGCCCCATCTTACCTCCCCACCGGCCACACGCGAGGGGCTTGTGGGGGCTCCGCGTCCTCGCCAGCCCCCGTTGTGAGACGCACAGCTTGCGGTACACGAAGAGCCTCCCCATGCTTTGTATTCAGCAGCACATTATCCTATCATATTAAAGTATTCCAACAGAGCTAACTGGGTCCCTCCTCATGGAGCTTTAGTAGCTCCTAATATTTTGCTCTTGCAAACAATCCTACAGAGCGCAGCCTCGTCCTTGGGACTTTCCACACATGTATGAGAGCACCTGCAGATCGGCCCCGAGGAGTGGGATGGCTGGATCACAGGACACACGCATTTGTGATCTGGACAGCTTGCCAGACTGCCCTCCGCAAGGGCCCCACCAACGGACAAGTCCTATCAACAGCGTGTGAGGCAGCTGGGGCAGCCCACGAGCTCACCAGCCCGGCATGGTATCCAGCTTTTGGTGCTCAGCCATTCAAAAGTGGGGCATGGTATCCACACAGAGTTTCCACTTGCATTTTGCTCATTATAAATGAGTTTGAGCATAAGATTAATAGCTGAGCCTTGATTTAAGCATGATTTCCTGTAAGAGTCTCCCCTCCAGCTGAAACTGCCGGACCAGACAGATGGCCTTTGCCCTCTCAGACGGCTCGGGAAGGGTAGCAATCCTCAGGAAGCAGGCTGCTTGGAATTCCTGGTTGTTTTCCCCCTCTCCCCATGGCAGCTCTGTGCTTCTGGCTACCCTGGGACTGAACTTTTGAAACATGTATCAGATGGGAGCACTTGGCGAGATGGGGCTGTGAGCAAGAGCCAGGCGTCCAGACAGAGCAGAATGCTGGGCCGCCGGCCTCTGCACCCGCAGCTCCCCACCAGACCGCGGATGGAGGGAGTGGCCGTGCCGGGGCTGGGGTTACCCCGGCTGCCCTGCTGGTTTCTGGGAAGCTCAAGTTCCAGGGCCCTCCTCAGGCCTTTGGGCTGCAAGATTTCCCCAGATTCTCTGCCCGAATGAACAGTCTGGGAGAGCCACCCAGAGCCACAAGGTTCTCAGCTACTCCTCACGGTGGGCAAGCCACACTGGGGGAGAATACCAAGGTTTGTGTCTCTGACTTACTACTGTAAATTCTAGAGTTGAGGCAGTGGCTTCTCCCCATCACAGGGCCCCAAACAACCCAGGGACAAGACGGCCAGTCAGGCTGTCATCCGGACAAGTGCCCCAAGCTACCTACGAAGCATCCCCATTGAGCAGCCCATCCACCTCGGAGGCAAAAAGCAGACCCTGCTGAACGGGGTGTAGACTTCTTAACACATCAGACCAGCGGGCTGACACCGCCGAGGGTGTCGATGTGACAAGTGTCAGGCTCATCCACTGTCTCAGGCGGAGAATTCCTCTGGGTTTGGGCTACTCAAAAAGGCCTTCGGGTGGGTCCCCATTCGTTTGTACCTCAAACGCCGACTGAGCCCCGTCCTGCCGGCCGAGTCGGTGGCTGTGCGTGTTTGATGAAGAGTGGGTGTGATTGATAAACTGTAAGCCAGCCTTCCCACCCGCCATTCCTAAGCCTCGCCCTCCGGTCCCGATTCTCTCCTTGGGTTGGTTGTAACTACCACACACACAAGAAGGGAGTGTCCGTTGGAATGGCACTGAACCATTTTAATAAAGGGTTTAAATAATTTTCATAAAAAGTTTTGAAAAAAATCATTCAATGAGTTCTGAACAAATTTCCGAACTCAGCAATCTGTCTGTCATCCAACCGGTGTGCAGCTGAGCACATACTATGTGCCGGGCTCTGGGCTGTGTGTTGGGGACATGGGGTTAACAGAACTGATGAGGTTCTTGCTTTCACGGACCTTAGACTGGGGGTGGGAGATAACAGCTAAATATGGGTAAGAGATCATCTCAGAGAGTGACGGGTCCTGGAAGTAAAACCACACAGGGAAAGGGGACTGAGGTGAGGCAGGGCAGGGATGAGGGATGCAGAATAATGGGGCCAGAGTCATGGGACCGGAGCAGGGCAGGGGTGAGGGATGCAGAGTCATGGGACCAGAGTCATGGGACCGAAGCAGGGCAGGGGTGAGGGATGCAGGGTGATGGAACCAAAGCAGTGTAGGGAGGCAGCATCTGTGTGTCAGGCTGAATGACCAGGGGACCCCCCCCAGCAGCTGGGGGGGGGGGGATTCAGGGTCAGGTGACAATGGGTGCAAAGGCCCTGGTCTCAGTGCATCCCCGGAATGGAGAGGCGAGCCAGTGAAGGGTCTCAAGGAGGGACAACGCACTGAGAAAGTGGCGGAACAGGCAAGGATTGTATCCACTGTGACCTTGCGTGGTAAGGGAAGGGGCTTTCATTCTTGCCGCCAAAGAAGCCGCTGGGGGCAGATCTAACCCGGAGCAAGCCGTACTTCCCCGTGGAAAGAGACCATCTGGAGCTGTGACCAATCTACTAAAAGGAAGTTATCTTAAGAAACTGTTGGGAAAGTACACGGGCTTGTGCAAAGATGTTCTCTGCCGTGTTATCAGAGCAAAGCAAAAAAAAAAAACAAAACACAACCCAGCCCGGATGTCTGTCAACAGATGTGTGTCTGCCCACACAAGGGAAGAAGATGCAGCCACTGAAACATTGGGTGGCTACATGGGTCGTGGCCTGGGAGCACATTCAAGCGGTTACTGACTGGGAAAACCAGTTAACCTAACAATACACAGAGTCTGGTCCCTTTTGGGTAAAAACAAAAACAAGAAGGTGTTTGTGAACAGAAAAAAATCTGGGAGGAAACACACCAGAATGTTGACACTGGGTGTGGGATTTTCAGTGATCGTAATCTCTTGAAATTATCTTCTTGAAGTTTCTTAAAATTAAGATTTTAATCTCTTAAAATTGATTTCTTAAAATTACTTTAAAATTAGAATTATTTATTGAGGTCTCCCAAATTTTAAAAAGAAGAGAAGGAAAGAAGGGAGGAAGAGAGAGACCACACAGAAGACCCTCGCAGAGCTGGGGAGAACCAGCACTGGCCGGGAAGCCCCGAGGGGGGCCCCTCCAGCTGACTCCAAGCACGCAGAGCGCTCATCTGTTGGGGCTGAGCTGTGACAAGGGCGCTCTGGGAAACGTCCAGTGTCTGCAGCCTCAGGGGGTCACAACTCAGCCCTGGTGAGTGGTTTGCGGCGGGAACGCACCCCTGGGAGCCGGCAGCTCTGCCCCCCCTCACTGCCCGCGGGATGCCACCTAGGTCCTTATGTAATCTCACCCCGTGCACCCCTCGAGGCCATCCCTTGAGATCCCTAAGGTTCTCGCTGCTTACAGAAAGGGAATCAAGGCTCTGAGAGATGATGCAATTTGCCCCAAATCGAACACCTTGTTCCAGGTGCAGCTGGGATGTGCACCCAGGTGCGTCGAGGCCCCTAACCATGATCCTGAGCAGTCAGGCTGTGGCCACGCTGTCTCTGAGGGCGACATCGGCCCACCCCAGGTCCCGGAGGGAGAGGGGAGGTTGCAGGCCCGCAAGGAGCAGCGAACACTGGACTGTGTCCCAGAGCTGCCGGTGAAGGTCACTCAGGGAGGGACTGATGGCCCTTTGCCGCCAGACCACCCAGACTGCAATGACAGTACAGCATGGAGCTCCCAGTGCGGGGTGGCCCGTCCTGGGAAGGACCTCAGGCTTGCCCACGAGCTGGCGGCTCGCTCCACAGAGTCACAGAACCCAGCGCCCAAAAGATTGCAGGAAAGGAACCCTTCACTGCCCTCCTGGCTTTTTAAGTGTGCGACTTCTTTTTAATTAAGAAATATCATTTCTAGGGGCGCCTGGGTGGCTCAGTCGTTAAGCGTCTGCCTTCGGCTCAGGTCGTGATCCCAGGGTCCTGGGATCGAGCCCCGCATCGGGCTCCCTGCTCGGCGGGAAGCCTGCTTCTCCCTCTCCCGCTCCCCCTGCTTGTGTTCCCTCTCTCGCTGTGTCTCTGTGAAATAAATAAAATCTTAAATATATATCGTTTCTACATATACGTGTTCATAATACGTATTGATACGTATATATGTGTGTATAGATGTTTATGTGTTGTGTAGGTATTTTGTTTCAAAGATTCAAACCCTGTTCTCCCAGAGTCTCATCTGTTTACTGAACTTCCAGGAGAATTCAAGAGTCAGACAGACACGGCTTCAGATCTTATCTGTAAGACCTTGGTTATTAGTCCATTTCCCTGAGTCCGTTCTCACATCTGTAAAACAGTGTTCGTGGAAGTCCCACTCCTTAGGGACTGGGAAGAGGACGTGAGCTTATGCAGGGCAAGCACCGGGGTCAGTGCGTGCATTCAGCACGAGCTGTTTCGTCCTTCCTACGCGGTTTAAACCATGATCTCCCCTCAGGGAAAGGATGGTGTGCCTGGCTTGCGGCGGGGCCACGCACGGAGATGAATGCGCTACACCCACAAACCCCAAACCCCGTCAAACCTCTTCCCCTTATCTCATGAAATATAAAAATATCCTTTAGGGAAAAGCGTTTCAGAACACTGTGCAGCATGATCTCCGTCTTGATTTTTAAGCATGTTGTATGTGCCCCGGGGGGAAAAGGCTTGGAAAGCTATAAATGAGCAATTAACAGAGGTTAACAGGGCACCCGTGGGGGACTCTTATTTTCTACTCCTGAGACTTATTATTTAAATAATGTATTTCTTTTCTAATAAATGTATTTCTCTTCTAATAAATACGTTTAAAGATAGAAACAAGTGCACCCTCGTACTGAATGCTCCCCTGGCCCCTCCTGGGCAGGGCCTGTGGCCCAGGCTCAGGGACCTATCTGTGGGGTGGAGTCACGTGTGCTGGGGAAGAGCATGGGGGCTGGGGTAGGCGGTCTGGATTCGATCATGGCTCTGTGGCTTGCTGGCTGGGTGACCTTGAACAAGTCACTTAACCTCTCTGTGCCTCCCTTTCCTTGCTGATAAAGTGGGGCTAACTGGGGTCCCTCCCTCATGGGGCTGTTGGGGGGATTCGATGAGCTACTGTGTGTACAGATCTTAGAGGGTGCGGGAGGGGCAACCCACCCATTTGCACAGCAGAGGGAACCTGACACCCAGCCGTGGTCCAGCTGGCTTGGGGGAGAGGGCAGAGCTCATGCCATCCGGAAACAACAGCTTAATGGTTTCTGCTTCTCCGAGTTTCTGGATACACAGATTTTCAGACACCCAACCCTTAAGAGTCCCAGAGCTGGGCTGCCCAGCAGAGGAACCAACCAGTCCCAGTGGCTCCTGGGCACTTGAGATGTGACTCGCCCAAACTGAAAATGTGCTGTGTGTGCACTATACACATTAGATCCCCAAGACCTTATTTATTAAAAAAAAAAATGCATATTTCTTATCAATAACTTTCTATTAATACGCATTAGAATGGTAATATTTTTGATACACTGAATTCAATCAAATATATTCTAAATTTTCCCTTTTTACTTTTTACTGTGTCTACTAGAACATTTAGAATCCCGTGTGGCTCATAATTAAGTGAGTGCTGGACGTGTCCCAGGAGGTCAGTGCCTGGCACACAGAAGCTGCCCCACGACCGTGACATGAATAGCCCTCTTCTGGATGAAAGTCCACCTACATACATACCTTCTACCTCTGTGTTACGTTTGTTAAAACCAAGTGACCAAGAATGCTATCTGTCTTCGTTGGTCTATTTCCCAATCTCCTTGTGAAATCGGTCTTAAAAAACGGTCCTGGTCTAGGAAAAATTCCTGAACTGATATTCATCCAGATGTCCAGCTTCTTTATGAGAATATTCCGGCAAACCCTGGTCCCAATGTCAAAAGCTCTTCTTGACACCTTTCCTCTGCTATCCCTTGTGGGCATGTGTGTGAGAAAGAAGATTCCTGTCCTCCCACAGTGTTCCAGTTCTGCATACTCGTCTTGCAAAACTCTCAGGATATCCTCTTCTAGAAAAAGACCACTGCTAAACCAAAGCCACTTTGCAGCCGGACTGACTTTTGGCCCATGTGCTGAGAATTCTTTTCAGGAGGCCTTTGTTTGCTCGCTTGATTGAAGGATTCCCTAAATTTAGAATGAAGTTTGCTGTGCACAGGTCCCAGAGTGTCCAGCATCCACAACTCCCTTGGGACCGACTGGGACCGCTCTCGGGTACCAGCAGACGTTGGGGACAGAGCCACCCTCTAGCCCCAGGCTTGGTTCCCACAGTCCCTAATGGGAACAGGCTCTGGGGAGATTTCTCAGTCCTGGTCTCTGTGCAGAGGGCTGCTGAGGTCCCCATCAAACAAGGGGCGGGTGGGGCATGGGTGGAACCACGTCACCAAGGAGGAGACTCTAGCTAGTGAGATTGGGCCCTGCTTCATGTGCTCAGCTGCCTGCCCTACCCCAGCACAGTGATGCCCGGGGCCCTGCAACGGCAGTGGTCATTTCTCTTGTCAGCTCCAACCCCACTGGGTGACACGCCCCACCTGGGCAGAGACCAGCTGCGTGTTCCCTGCTGGACCCCGGTGCCTGGGACATTGTGCGTGCTCGCCAAGCGTATGACCCCTGATGGGTGAGCGTGCAATGGAAGGGTGGATGCAAGGATGAAAGAGTGAGATCCTGCAAGATGCTTTCCCCCTTGTCCCAAAAGACAATCCACGCAGCCTATTTCTTACGTACAAGTCACTTGGTCCCGTGTTCAAGAACCATGGTGCCCTGCGGTGCGCAACAGACCTCGTAAGTGCTACCATAGCCAAGAGGGCCCTGGATTCATCGGGCACTTACAGTGAGCCGCCAGGCAGTGCTCGGCACAAACCATCTCAGTGATCCTCACGGCAACCGTGTGGCAGAGGAGAGACCAAAGCTTGGGGAGACCGCCTGCCCAAGGACACCCAGCTGGCGAGCAGGGGAGCAGGCTCCCAAATGCCTGCACCCTCCTGGCCTAGCCCCCCCCTTCTGTGTGTGCAGGGTGGTCTGTGTCATTTCGACACCCATGGACCCCAGCACTGGTCCTGGTACCCCATGAGAATGAGTCCGAATTGCAGAATATCAGAGTCCCCCACGGTGCCTGTGTGTGCAGGGGATGCGACCACCCTCACGTCATCGTCCCACCTGCACCAGGACCCCTGGGAGTCGTGTTCACACAGATCGCAGAGCCCAGTCCCGGAGCTTCAGACTCCACAGGTCTGGGGAGGGCCCGAGAACCTGCTTTTGTAGCAAGCTCCGAGCTGATTTGGATTCTGCTGGTCTGTGGGGGCCGGTTTGAGACCTACCGCCTTACCACTAACCCCAGGGCGTAGGTGTTATCACCTTCCCCTTTATAGGTGGGGAAACTGAGTCACAAGAGAGTGAGTCCAAGGAGGAAGGGAAGCGGGATCTCAACTCTGGAGATGCTGCAGAAACTCCCTAGAACCCTTCTGAATAGCGCAGTGGGCAACGCCACTTCTGGGCCTGGGAAAGCCTGCCTGGAAGGTATTTATAATGATGATGATGGCGATGCTGGGCGGGTCACTTGGGGAGAGAGAAAGAACGACGGGTCTCGGGGGGCGGGGAGGCTGACAGTGGGAAAGAAGCCACTCTGCAGACCCGTCTCAGACACCCACCTGCGGGGGCCGCACATTAAGCCGCGTGGCTGCCCTCGGGGAGCCACTCAGGGATGAGCTGGGCAGTGAGCCCGGAGGCCAGCCCGCCACCTTTCTCAGCAAGACCGTTTCCTCTTCGAGGGGTACAGATAACTCAACAGAGTGCTGTCCTGGGACTTCTTCCCAGCCTGGCCAGGAAATGCCACCTAATCAGCTGCCTCATTTCCCTCCCATTAAATCAGTGGAATTTCCCTTCATTAAGCTTTTCCCAAACAAAGATTGCCCACGCTGAAGAAGATGCAGACGCTGTTCGCTCCGGTGTCGGGGCTCAGGACAGAGTTCCTGTGTGGGCCCCTGGGGGGGATCTTCGTGCCACTATACAGCGTCCCCACAAGCGGCACCATCCTGACGGGAGGATGGGGGGGTGCCACGAAAGCCAAGCTTCTGGGGGCCTGGCACATTTTGTGTTCTTGATTTTATACTCCTTTTCAAAAGAAGGGCCCTCAAATATAAAATTTCAGCACTCCCCTCTGTTATGAGCTCAGCTGTGTCCCCCAGACCCCATTCCTATGTTTAAATCCCAGCCCCCGATGCCTCAGAATGGGGGGAGACAGTAGTTGGAGAGGGTCTTTGAAGGGATAATGAAGTTAAAAATGAGGTCACGAGGGTGAAGCTCGATCCAATCTGACCAGTCTCTTTAGAGGAGGACAGTAGGACACCGAAGAGCACAGAGGGAGGACCTTGTCAGGACACAGGGAGAAGGCGGCCGTCTACACACCCAGGAGAGAGGCCTCAGGAGGAAGTCCTCCCCACCCACGCCTTGATCTGGGACTTCCAGCCTCCAGCACTGCAACGTTTCTGTACCTTGCCCCACCAGCCCTGAGAACAACTCTACCCCCAAGAGGGATCTGCCTCTTGGCGAGTCATGAGACCCATTTCACAGACACAGGAACTGAGGCTCGGGAAAGGCTGGTGCCTTGTGTGAGGTCATGGGGCTCTCAAGAGGAAACCCCAGGACTGGGGCCTGGATCCCTGGGCTGTGAGGTCTGGGAGGTGCTTCCATGGACAACAGGGACACAGGTGAGGATGAGCAGCATGTGCCAGAAGATAAACTGGCAGCCTGAGGCCGTTCTGGAAAGGCATATGAAGCCTCAGACGTTTGCACGGTCTTTGATCTAGGAATGTCACTTCCAGGGACTTCCAGAAACAAGCATTGGCAGGTGCAGACATTCCCCCGTGAGGATGGTCATCCCCCATGGACGATCAGCCCCCCAGGATGGAAAAGTGCTGGGCTGCCCAACCAGGAAGTGAGGTGCAGGGGGCCCACTGGATGCGACTGTGTGGGGTCACCAGCAGGGACACAGGGGTGGGGGGTGGACTTAGGAGCAGCCTTGATGATCTATTCAGTGAAAGTACAGAGTACTAAACTCTCCTCTCCTGAGGGTCTGTTGCTCTCAGCTACCAGACAGCCACTGGATTAATCCTCCAGCAATCTGTGAGGCCGAGACCAGTGCTGTCCCCATATCACAGGTGAGAACACTGAGGTGCAAGGAAATCAGGTGGCTGGCTTGCGGGCACAAAGCTGGTGAGAGGCGGAGCTCCAGACCCCTTGCTCTTACTTCTGTAACACATGTAACTATACTATCGTTAACTAGAGAGAACCACTGTGTCACCATAAATTGATCCCATTTGTTTTCTTTGCATACACGCCAAGTAAAAGGACCAGAGGAAGACACACCACAAGTCTCACAGTAACTCCCCCAGGTGACAGGTTATGGATGACTGTTATTCTTTGGGCTTATGGGATGCTTCTAAATCTTCTACAAAAACAGATATTGTCACAGAAAAAAGTTCTTAGTTTTAAAACAGAAAGGAAGAGAAAAGAACAGGCTCGTTTTGGGTATTCTGGTAGGAATGAGCGCAAGCCTGCCCAAGTTCTACTCCCAAGGTCAAGGTCATTGGCTTCCCTCCCGGGTGCCTCAGGGGCACCCTTGGTGGACCCTGGGTGTCAAGAGCCGGAGAACGCAGCCCTACCTTTCAGACTGGACTCCATTCCTGAGCGAGCCCACGTAGGTCTTCTTCTTATCCACGGGCATCACGTCCACATAACCCCCGCTCTCGTTCTGGATGACTCCCGCATGCACGGCCGTCTTGCAGATGCTTGAACTCTGAAAGCGCCAGAAGAGCCATGGTCAACGTCAAGGATGCCGTGTTCCTGGGCGAGGCCCTGCTGCTGCCGACCAGTTCTTGGTGGCGTGGTCGGGGATGAGGGGGAGTGTCAAGTCACCTCTAGGAAATACCCATCATCCCCTTGATTCCTTAGGGGTCTCTCCAGAGAGACCTGGCCTCCTTCATTCGTTCATGCATTCATTCATTCAGCAAGTATTTTCTGAGCACCTACTAGTGCCATGCATTGTGCTAGATGCAGGAAAACTCAGCAGGGAACACAATAAAGACTTGACCTTCATGCAGTTGAGGGAGCCTGACAAGTAAATACACAAACAAGCAACTCTGCCTGTGAAGAAAATAAAACCAGCTCATGAGATAAAGTACTGGGTGGAGACACTCTGAGAATAGTTAATCCGGGAAGACTGCTCTTGGTGTGACACTGGAGCTTAGATTTGGAGGAGAAAAAGGAATGGGTCACCGCCTAGGAATATCTCTGGGAAGAGCATCCCACGCAGAGGGGACAGCCTGTGCAAAGGGCGTGGGGTAAGAGTGAACTTGTCATGTCCGAGGAACGGAGGGCGGGCCAGGGTGGCTGGAATACAGAGGCAGGTGGAGTGTGGCGGGACAGGTGGGAGAGGTGAATGGGGCCCATCCCGTGGGGCTGTGAGGACTGCAGGGGGAGTTGAGGCTTATTATAGGGGCCAAGGGAGCCGCTGGCTTTCAAGTAGGGGCAGGGTGTACTGTTCTGCAAGGTTACCAAGTAGTCCAATTCCTGGGTAATAAGCCCTTGAGTTAAATTTTCATTAGGGTCTTTAGTTATCCAATAGAAAAATGATCCTCAGGATGGAATGTCTGAGACTAATTAATCACCATTCCTCAAACTGGGGAGATTCACTCAGGGATTGGGCAGCCGGTCCCCACTCGCCCTGACGGGCTGATTCCGAGTCACCCCCAACAAGGGCCAGGTGACTGAGGCACACTCAAGGTGAAGTACCACGTGGGGGACCCTCTCCTGCCACTTCTACGATCCTGTCATCCAGCCTGGGGTAAAAAGCCAACCCTGGCCTTGGCAGGGGGTGTCAGTCTTTACCGCAACCCAGAGCCCCTGCAGCATCTTTACAGGGTAACGGCGCCCGATGCCACAGGGCTGGCTTTGCAGATGCAGGGCCAGGGTGGGGGGGCACAAGCGGGGACTGTGGGCGGCTTCCGGAAAGTGGGAAAGGCACGGAAACACGGGGCGGGGGGCTCTCCAGAAGGAATGAAGCTCTGCTGACAGCCTGACCTGCGCCCGGGGAGGCCTGTGCTGGGCTTCTGACCTCTAGACCGTGAGAGAGAAAGGCCACGAAGTTACTAAGTTTGTGCTCATCTGTCACAGCAGCCATAAGAAACCCATACAGCTTCTGACCACTGTCTCATGACCAAAATGTTCCACTGATGAGGCCCCTTAAGTGTGATGACTTCCAAAGAGTCAGAAAACAAAGTCACCAGGAGAATGGCCCCTGAGACATCGATAACATGTTGAGTCACACTGACAGAACCAGCTGCTCAATCTAGCTCAGCAAGTTGCCAACTTAAAGTCAGACGGACGTCTGCAGGGCAGACTCTAGTCCTGCCTTCATTCATGACCTAGTGACCTGCAGCCGTGACCGTGGCCATCAGCAGGGGGTCAGCCTGCAGACTCCGTGTGTGTCGAGGAGGGGGCGGGGGGACAGTGCTTTGTGCAGGGAGTGGAGGCAAGGCCACGGCGGACCACGACCCAAGTTTGCAAACACCAACAGGTGATGGTCACTCTGTAGGAGGGGGGTTTGGGCTTGGCTGTCTCTCAAGGCCACCCATCTGCACAGTACCTGGGACCCTGTAATCACCTGTGGGGTGACTCGGGTCCCAACCACTGGTTAACCCAGCGAGCACCTCCTTTGTGAAGAGAGTAGGCAGAGGAAGAATCCTGTATGATTCTGCTCACATGGGGCATCGGAAGTGGTCAAGTCCGCACCCTGAGCTGCACTTTGAGCGGGACAAGCAACCCATTGAGCAGGTTCTTAACACCAGATGGGAGTGAACGGATTCAAGTGGGCTCTTTGAAAATACTGATTTGAAATCTCACATGGATTTGAAATCTCACACGTTGGGAGCCCGGGGCAATCCCTCTCAGGGACCCCCTCCAGGTGGTGAGCTCCTGCCCCCTTTCTTCAAAACCAGGTCCTGCCAGAGAAGCCGGGTCCCTGGGAAGTGCATCGTGCTGTGCAAAGTGCAGAGTCTGAGAGCCCGAGCGAACTCTCACACCAAGGACCTAAGAACGGGGATGCTTGCTTTCTGTGACTGAGTCACTTGAGTCACTGAAGGCAGGTATGATCCTGCGCCAACGCATCTTTCCTTCTTCGATAAACAAACGGACAAGGACAGGGCTCCTTAGTGAAGTGGGCTCTGGGGGATCTGGGAGGCCCCAGAGTTGCAGGTCAGCAAGAACTTCCCTGATTTTAGCACTGAATGTGGGAAACCCCAGGGAAGTGGGGACAGTTGGTCACCTTGTCTGTACGAGGAAGCCTTTTTAACTATCCCCTTGGAAAAAGGATCCATAAGTTTCCAGTTCTCCAAAGGATTTGTGCCCCCCAAAGATTAGGAAGCAATGCATTTGCGGGCATCTCAGAGAGAAAGGGAGCCTTGAGAATTCCTCTAACGCACTTCTAGGGGCGGTGAGCTGTGTGGGTACGAACGTGCTTGCTGTTCTCACCGGCAGGCATTTCTTCTGTCTCTCTGGCTATTGCTCACTCCGCTGACTGAGTTACCAGACAGGAGGCCCGGGGCCACTTCGGCTGCAGCACCTGGAGGGACCCGAGCCCGCCTCCAGCAGGCACATCCTCAGGACTGAATGCTGCCAAGAGGTGCTACATTCTGGTTTTGTGCCCTCTGGGACAGCCCTTTGCCTCCTGTCCCCGGAGGATTTCTGGACACCAGTGGTACAGAAATTTTCTGTGATACCATCAAGCTGTGGGCCGTGAGTATGAAAACCTCAAGGGGACAGCCAGATCTTTCTCACAAGATAGGCACGGCTATCGTCCATTATCAACACACACCTCTTCAAGCAACTGCAACATTGGCAAACCCTGTCTCCCCCTTTCTCGCCCCTCCTCTCCCTTCGTCCAACACATGAGGAAGCAAGCTTCCACAAAGATACAGGTTGTCCACTTTCTCTTCTTAGGGCCTGAGCAATGCAAATTTATTAACAGTTGCCATCAGCAGAAACCTGGTCTCAGAGAGACTAGAGCCCATCCTATCTCCACCACTTGTCTGCTAGGTGGCCTTGAATGACCTGTTTTAACCCCAAGAGCCCCTATTTTCTCGATACAAAGGGGGGGGGTCATCATAGGTAACATTTTCGAGCATTTACCAAGGCAGGCCCTGTTCTATGAGTTTCCCGTGTAGTGATGAAGAAATCTCTCAATAACGCTGCGAGGTAGGTATTATTATCCTCTCTGAACAGATGGGTGGAACGAGGTTCAGGGAGGTTAAGTGACTTCCCCCAAATCAGTCAGCTGGCAAACAGCGGGGCCCGACTGCCCCCACCCCCGAGCCAGCAAGCTGCCCACCATTCCTTATGGGACAGCGAGGGCCCAAGAGGACTATCTGGAAGACGTGACAAGCTCAGGGGCTGAATGCACGCTTGCTGAGGCAGCACTCAGTAGATGTTAGTTAACTTATCACCATCACTCTCACCATCACTCTCACCGTCACCATTATCGAAAACGCTCAAGGGACTGCCGTCCCGGAACACCAACATCAGCAGCATCCGGGAACTTGTTAGAAATGCAGATTCTCTGGCTCTGCTCCAGACTCCCTGAGTCAGAAAGGCTGGGGTGGGGCCCAGAAATCTGTTTGAACAAGCCCTCTGGGGGATTCTGATGTGTGCCCAAGTGTGAGAACTTATCCAGCCGCCGAGAGATAAGAAAACCGAGGCTCAGAGTAGGAGAAAGGCTCACCCGCGATCTCACAACCGGGTCTTAAACTCGCATCTTGTGACCCAGACTTTGCTCTTTGGGCTACACCCTGTTGCTTCTCCCGCCTGCAACTCACCACGAAGGGAGCGGGCTGCCAAGTAATGCACTCCCGGTAAGCAGGCAGGAACAGCAGCGCTATTAGGCCCTTCGAAGATCTGGAGACAACTCTCCCAAAATAAATCTCTTAGCTAAACAGACATTTTCCAAAAGGCATCGTCATTTCCCAGAATACAGAGTGACCTAGAAACCAAGGCCAGAAAAGAACCTCCGAGATGGACGGAACTCCCTTCCTTCTCTCCGGACACCTCCCCTCTCCTCTCCCTGTCTCCCCTCTCTTTTCTTCTTTCTCCCTTCCTTCTTTTATTTTCTGAAAAGCTTAATATTTAAACATTAAGTATCTTATGTAGTATCTTCATTTATTTATTCCTTCAACAGTCATTAATTGAACAATCATTATGTGCCAAGTCCTGTGCTGAGCACTCTGGTTGCAAAAGCTCAAAACCCTAGTGAAATTAGGGCGCCTGGGTGGCTCAGTTGTTAAGCGTCTGCCTTCGGCTCAGGTCATGATCCCAGGGTTCTGGGATCGAGCCCCGCATCAGGCTCTCTGCTCGGTGGGAAGCCTGCTTCTCCCTCTCCCACTCCCCCTGCTTGTGTTCCCTCTCTCGCTGTGTCTCTCTCTGTCAAATAAATAAAATCTTAAAAAAAAATCCTAGTGAAATAAGTTAAAGACTGCACACAGGTCTTCACTTCCATGCCCACTCACATCAGTATAATTTTGAGTGCAGGTACATTCAAGTAAGGAAGAACAGGGCAGGGAAAGAACAGAACCTAAAGTAAGACATAACCCTCATGGCATCTCACCTTGGCTATGTATTAGCTGTGTGTTTTGGGGGCAGGTTATTCTAAGCCTCACTTTGTTTTCCTATAAGACGGGGACAACAACACCTGAAATGGTGTTCTTAAAGAATGCAAAAGATAGTAAAATATAGTTTTATATTATTGTTAATTCTTATCAAGTTCTCCTTGCATTTCTACCTTTTAAAAAAAACTTTATATGTTTAGCTGCTACGTTGTTCGGTGCATACAGATGTGATCTCATACCTTCATAAACTTTTTATGCCATTCCACAATGAATGGTGGTGTCCCATTCAGCATGTTTAACCTTAAATTCCACTTTATCAGATTGCAATATTGCCACTGCTGCTGTATTGTTTCTCTGTATTTTGCTAGAATCACTTGGCCTATCCCTTTATTTTTAAGTCATTTTAAAATCAAAGTTTGGCTCAAACATTTAGTTTAACAATTGGTATACAATATTTTACTCCATTAAGCTTTTAAAACTCAATTTTGGCTGAATGGCTTCTGAGAAGAAAAAGACTCACTTAAAGAGGAAAGAAAAAAGATGGGGGAGAAAAAAGGTTAGGGGCGCCTGGGTGGCTCAGTCGTTAAGCGTCTGCCTTCGGCTCAGGTCATGATCCCGGGGTCCTGGGATCGAGCCCCACATCGGGCTCCCTGCTTCGCGGGAAGCCTGCTTCTCCCTCTCCCACTCCCCTTGCTTGTGTCCCCTCTCTCGCTGTGTCTCTCTCTGTCAAATAAATAAATAAAATCTTTAAAAAAAAAAAAAAAAAAGGTTAGCCATGAGGGTTGCTTTGACTTTACAGAACTTAGTGACCTCAGATTTATAGGAATCTGGAACAAATGAAGCAGATGGAGACAAAGACGGTGGTGGTGGGTGGGAGAGAACAATTAAAATGAAGATGGAAAAAACCTGAGTAAAAATGTTAGCTGGGGATGGGTGATGCTGATCTAATCAGGAGATGTTAGGTCTCGAAGATTCCTTGGACTAGAAAATCCCAGCTGGCTCATTCTACAGAGAGGTAAGCAACTTGGCAAGAAGACCACACAGCCTGGTGGGCAGGGCTGTGACCACATTCCCATCTTTTGGGACACCATGCCCCTTCACCCTGGGCAACTGGAGGGAACAGACTATGTTCTGGAAGATTCACTCAGAAAAATCAGGCTAAAGCTTCCTTGCTAAAGTTAGTAAGGAAATGTGGAAGAACAGACTCCAGTGTGATAAGAGTGGTTATGAACAAGTCGTCAATTAGCGTAATTTGTATTTCCTTCTGTGTGCTTTTAGCTAAGTGGGGACATAGCCAAAAAAGAAATGCAGTGAGTAGAGTGGACCAGTTCTTTAAATGTATCAGGAGAGCTGGAAAGATGATTAAATAGCTGGGGAAATGAAGTGTTAAGTATGTGGTACCTAAAAGCCTTCACATTAAAAATGCGCATGAATGGGGAAGCAGGATTCCATTTACCCAACCATGAAAACATTTGCTAATGACGAGGTCCACCTGCATCCGCATCCACAAGCACACACCAGTGCAAGTACTAATGCGTCTACACATGGGGAAACTAGGGCAGGGGTCGCAGAAAGAAGTGATCTAAATTTAGCTCAAAGCACAGGAATGAGATCTCAGGTGTCTGGTACCCAGACCTTAGAACGTGATTTCTGAGGTCTGAGCATGCTTTGAGAGGTGGTCACTGAAAATGCCGGCATACTTACATCTGCATAGATGTTAGTTCCAAACACAGGAGCCCAGTAGGATGGCTCGTCTCTGCAGTGTGCTGGACAGTGAACTCTGGAAAACCAGAAACATGTGTGTGATGGTTATGATCAGCAGAAGACAAAAGTTCTTGAGAAGCAGCTGGCCTTCCCTATTTGAATTTCAAGATTTAACTACTTTCATGGGAAAGGAAACTACCACACAGTTTACTCTTTAAGAAAAAAAAACATACCTCTCCCACCCTAGCAGTGGTACAGATATTGTCCCTCTTCGTAATCAGTGCATATAGAATTTTCAAACTCCGTACAAAGGAGACATGCAGAAATAACAAGGTGAAAGAGAATAAATATGTCAGAGAGATGAATATGGGATTGTAAGAGATTGTACCTCTGGTTCTTGAGTGTTGGCCAATTCATATCATGGGTACATTATGGAAATTATAATCAATAGACTTTGTTAGAGGCCACTTTCCTGTGTAAGGGAGGAAAGGGTGGAGGGCCCTCACCTCAGTGAGTCAAACTATTCCAGGGACGGGGCACTGATAACCTGAGGCGGAAGGGGTTAGATCACCACTGGTCAGTCACCACATCCCCGCCGTAGGCATAGAGGAGGAGGAAAGCACCTCAAACTGGAAATGGGTGGGCCCTAGCTGGTGTGAGAGATTCAAACCGGGAAAAAGCATGAACTTCACTTAAGAAAAGGTTTTTTGGGGCGCCTGGGTGGCTCAGATGGTTAAGCGTCTGCCTTCGGCTCAGGTCATGATCCCGGGATCGAGCCCCACATCGGGCTCCTGGCTCAGCGGGGAGCCTGCTTCTCCCTCTGCCTCTCTCCCTGCTCATGCTCTCTCTCTCTATCTCTGTTTCTCAAATGAATAAATAAAATCTTAAAAAAAAAGAAAAAAGAAAAGGTTTTTTGCCTTTATCTGGAATAGTACACCATGTTACTGGAACCAAGATGGCAGCCGGAAACCATCTGGCCCTAAGACAGACAGGATTCTGGCAGGGAAGCGAGCTCAGACAAAGGCATTGGGAAGTTAAAACAGTCTGGGGGTGGGCAGGAGGGGATAAGGGTGGGCGGAGAGGAGGAGGATGTCTGCGTGAGATTTTAAAAAAGAATCTGGGCAAGAAAATCCTTTCCTACTTTTTTGAGAATGGCAGGTCAGAAACCTGTATTTTCTATACTTGCAGTATGTCAAGTTTTTGTCGTTCATTTGTGTTTTCTGACGTAATTTCCTTCTGCTTCTCTTTAAGATTTGGGTTAGCTACTTAATATTTAATAAAAGGTTGTTATCCCTCATTGAACATTCAAAGGGGATCAGCGTGGTGGGGGTGGTGGCAGTGGGAGCCGTGAGAAAGCCCCAAGAGAAATGTGAGCCACAGAGGGGAGGAGCCGGGGTCCCCGCCCAGGGTCTTGTCCCTCACTGGCACCCTCCTGGGGCTCTTCCTTGCTCACATCTTGCGGGTGTCCACATGTTAGTTTTAAGGTCAGTCTGTAGGAAAATCCATAGGCCTCGAGGCCCAGGAGAAGGGTTCACAGCTTCCAAGAGGACCTAACAGGTACTTGAGAGGCAGATGTTACCAAATGTCACTTTACGTCATGATGCATCATCCTCCAAAAATCAGCCAATTAAGGTTTGGGTAGACGCATGTAAGACCTTCTCCTCAGACAGACTGTGGTCCGTGCACAGACCAGAACCCCGCAGGGCCACAAGAGGGAAGGCACCAGCGACGGGCTCGCAGCACCGATGATCTCAGAAGCATTACACGGAGGGCAAGAAGCCAGACACAAAAGTCTACACCCTACGACGGCTCCGTTTACGTGAGATGCTAGAAAATTATAGTGACGGCACGCAGACCAGCGGCTGGCAGGGATGTGGGCGGGAGGTGGAGGGAGAGGGGTGACTCAAGGCAACTTTCTGGCAGGACGGACACTCGATTGTGGTGGTGGCGGCCTGACGGGTTGTGTGTGTCAAGACACATCGAATTGTACACTTACAGTGGCTGGATTTTATCGTGTGCAAGTTACACCTCAGAAAAGCTGGGGCACAATGAGCCGGTTCTAACGTGACCCAGAGAAGATGCCGCAGATGGGGCACAAGAATCAAGGAGCTGCTTTAAAGGGGACAAATGGCACCATGAAGCTATTACGGGGATGCCCCGCTGGGCCACTCCCCGAGACTCAGATCCCAGTGGTCTGGGCGGGGGCCCCGGGAATCTGACCTATTGATGCCCCTCAAACACTCCCACCCCACAGCCAGGGTTGAGAACCAGAGATCGAGGGAGAGGTCCAGCGGGTGTGTGGTTCTGAGCACAAAGCGGTCGGTTTTCGGAGTGTCCGCACAAAGGGGCCGCACCTAGAACTCGGTTGTGCTTCGCCACATGACATGACCCCCAACTCAGCACGATGCCTCCTTCTCCCCACCCCTCTGTTTGCAGAGCCAGATGCCAGTGAGCCTTACCTGGGGCAGTGGGTCCCCGCCTTCTCGAACGGGCAGAGCTGAGCAACAGTGGTGTAGCAGTCCAGGTCCTGCACTGGGGACAGGAACATGGCAGGAAACGGTCAGGTCGTTGGCAAGCCTGGGTCTCAGGCCTCCAACCTGTGAGACGGCCCTTCGGACAAGCAGGTCCTCGGGGCTCATGGGATCCTTGAACGGAGGTGGGATGAGAAGCCAGCAGGTGCCGAGCCCTGGCGCCGCGGGCACCTGACCTCCGGGCCCTCAAGGGATGAGAAGCCCCATGGCCTGAGTGTGTCTACAACTCAGGAATGTTATCACCCTCAGTAGTTTCTCCACGGGACCAATGATACCTTTTATTTGCTCCCCTACCTTCTCCTCATGGCAAGTATTATTCTAATTATACAGAAGAGGAAGCAGAGGCCCAAAGGCCGGAGACCACCCTGGGTCTGCACGGGACATGGCGGGAGGCTGGGTTTCTGATGTCGGGTCTAGAGCTCTTCTTCAAGGTCACTTGTTTTTAACAACAGAGGTAAGAAAGTGGCTCTAATACTGGCCACCTGTGGTCTCTGAGAGCATGTCCTCAGCTAGTCCAGGGCTTGGCAAACTTTTCCTAAAGGGCCAGAGGCTAAATATTTCTGGTTTTGTGGCCCTATGGACTATGTTGCAACTACTCAACTCTGCTGTCGTAGCAGAAACCAGCTAACAAGGACGTGTAAATGAATGGGTGCAACTATGTGCCAATAAAACTTTATTTACAAAGACAGACGGCAGGAAGGATTTGCCCCTGAGGGTGATCGTTTTCGACAACCCCTGGTCCAGCCTATCATTTGGATGGGCCAGGGATCTATGTAGCAATCCAACGAAGGGGATTGGTTCTGTATACCATGGGACGCTATACAATGGAAGGCAGGGGAGGTCATTAAAATTAGGTTGAGAACACCACTTAAAGGCACAGAAGTATTTTCCTGATACATTATTATTTTTTTAAAAAAATCCAGTGACCAAATTTACGTAATTCTGTTTCAATTTTTAAAAGTGTATCAATGGGGGCGCCTGGGTGGCTCAGTCGTTAAGCGTCTGCCTTCGGCTCAGGTCATGATCCCGGGGTCCTGGGATCGAGCCCCGTATCGGGCTCCCTGCTCAGCGGGAAGCCTGCTTCTCCCTCTCCCACTCCCCCTGCTTGTGTTCCCTCTCTCGCTGTGTCTCTCTCTGTCAAATAAATAAATAAAATCTTTAAAAAAAAAAAAAAAGTGTATCAATGTATTACCAGTACAAATACTGTTAATCATAGGGAAAATAAACTACAAAGGTATCCACCAAAATGTTCACAATGTTATCTCTGAGTGGTGGAATCTGGGCCAAATCCCTTTTTTTTTTTTTTAATGCTTCTTTGTATTTTTAAATTATCTGGAATAAATAGGCATTATTTTTGTAAAATGGAAAAAAAGCTGCTACATGTTTTTATAAAGACATCTAACTAGATACTCCTGCATCCAGGGCCTATGACGACAAGAACTGCTTTCCCAAAGGAAAGGAAGGGTCTGTAGGTCAATTTCCTGAGGAAGGGGCTGGACAGGGTCCCCCCGCATCTCCGCTTGCCTGAAACTTCCAGTCAAGTGCCAAGTCTGGGCAACCAGAATTCACAGCTCCACCTCTGCTTATAGGATGCTCTCCCATGGATGCACCCCACCCTGCCAAATGAATATGCCCTAGGCAATAGGCAAATACATAGGCAATATAAAATACAGGCAATAGAAAAACTAGGCCAGAGATGGCAAGTATGTGCCACAGGCTTCCTCATGTTTCCCTTTGATGTTCATGGCTGACATTACTGGTCTACCAAGCCCCGTTTCCTGATGAGCCAAGAATGGGGCTTCAGCACCCTTCTCAACACAGGGCTAGTGTCGACCAGTAGAAAGGGACTCTCCCTATCAGGTACTCTAGACCCAGGCATTAGTATTTCTGTGACACTCAGCTGGGAGCCCTGGTCCTGTTTCTGGTGTAGCAATTTAGGGCCAATATCAAGTTCAGATATGTTTAGAAAGTAGTTAAAGAATTGACTTCGTCAGGAACCCCTTTAAAAAACCTTTATAGTGCTGAGAACAGCAATATTAACAGGCATCAAACACATTCAATCAATAGCTAAGGAAAATGAAACCTCCAGGGAAACCCAAGGTAACCTGTGTATTACGATCACATAAAAAATGACTGGCCAGCTTACCTTTTACTTTTGATACCACGAATGAGCTGGAAGGCTTGTATTTGCTGGAAAAGAAAACATGAGGTAAATGCAAACATCATTTCTAAAAGTTCAAGATTGCTCTTGCGTTTTATTTTCAGCCTCAACTTTATATTTTCCTACTCATTTCCCATCAGGCTGAAAGCCCATTCCAGAGTGGGGCTTGTTAACCTTCTCTGTGCCAAGAACCCCTCTGGCAGGCTGGGGAAGCCTATGGACCCCTTCTCAGAATAATGACTTTAAAATGCATACAATAAATTTAAAAGATAAACAGGGATCCAGTTATTAGTGACACTGATATCCAAGTATTAAAATTACTTTGCAATAGCTGTGGTTCCTTGTGAATGCAGTAAACACACGATCGGGAGGCGAGTCTTCTAACCACTATCCTTTCAGGGTAATGATGGCAGAAACCGTGTTTTCAGATGTCTGCAGCAACGAGATTTCTCCCAGTGAGAGAGTCGCTGGCCCTGCTAATGCTACTCTGGTTTGGGGCCAACATTCATACCGGCAGGAAATACTACATTTCAATTAGAGGTTAGAGAAAATAAAGCTTTGATTTGCTTTGTTTTAATGTTTGCAGACTCCCTAAAACGCGAAGAACCCTGCTCCAGATACAAAGTTGGCCGCTGGGAGGGCCCAGAAGCGGTTCCAGGACAAGCGTGTCAGGCCATGCGGGGCCCAGACCCCGCCAGCCCGCTGAGCCCTTGGTGCCCATGCTGAGCCTTGCGTGGCCCGCGTTAGGTCACTCGGCCTCCGAGAATATGTTCTTTGCTTCCGTTTAGACTTCCTTGCTCGTGTTTACACAACCCCCGAGTCCCTAGCTAAGATGAAGAGGGAATTTTGCAAGACCTCTTGAAGAAGCAGGCCTTTCAAAGGGGAATGACTCATGTGGTTTCTGAAATGTCCTGAGTGGAGCTCCTTGGAACACACGCAAGGGCTCTGGTCACCGTGGTCCTTGCTGCAGACCCTGGGATGGGCACTGACACGGGGAAGCTCTCTTGAGGCCATGCGCCATGGCCCAAGGCTGTAGGGAGCGGAGGCAGGGTCCCCAGTGTCCCTGCTGGGCTGGGCACTAGATTCTGGATGGGGCGGGGGCTCCTGGGCATGGGGGCGGCGCACGTTCTCAGGTCTCTGGGTAACAGAGCTTTCCTAGCAATGGCGGGAGAGTTGCATCATGTAAAAAACTGGCTGGCGGTAGCTCTGTGGACTAGCTGGGTGTCAGCCCTGGGTCCTACCAGGGCCCTCTTTAACAAGTGAGGTGCTGCACCCAGAAGGGATGAAGAAACTGCCCAAGGTCATGGGCGTGGCGGGGGGCGGGGTTAGTGAGAAGAGAGCCAGGTCTCTTTGGCCACCGTTGGGCTCCATGCTCCCTGGTTCCTTCATGCCTCCCACTCTACAGAGAGACCACGACGTGGCCTCCCCCACCGCTCCCCAGAAAGTCAGGATGGGGAGGACGGCCTGCCCTGCATCCATCTGCAGACCTTACCCGAAAAACAGAATCTTGCCAATAAAAAAAAAAAGTCAATATATTAAAAAAATGAAAAGCCTCATTCTCCAGAAAGAAAAAAATGCTCATCAAGAATAAACCTATAGGGCGCCTGCGTGGCTCAGTTGGTTAAGCGACTGCCTTCGGCTCAGGTCATGATCCTGGAGTCCCGGGATCGAGTCCCGCATCGGGCTCCCCGCTCAGCGGGGAGTCTGCCGGTCCCTCTGACTCTCCTCCCTCTCATGTGCTCTCTCTCTCTCTCTCTCAAATAAATAAATAAAATCTTTAAAAAAAAAAAAAAAGAATAAACCTATAAACTTAAGGATGGGAAGAAAAGCAAGGGTCAAAACTCGGCCCAAATGAAACACAGGAAAACCCACTCAGGGGAGAGATGGTAAATCGTCTGCGGGGGATAAATTCTGAGCTATGGAGTTAAGTTCATCTTTATAGTTTTTTTCTCCTGCTTCTTTATATTGTTTGGTGCTTTTCGAAATTTTGACAATAGTTTCATAACCAGAAAAAAAAAAGTATTAAGGAATCCTTCATCCCAGAGTAGTTACCTCAAAGACTCCACGCCATTCCTCTCAGACCTGACGAAGAAGGGGACCTTCCCGTTCCTGGTGACGTCCACCAGGCCACCTTTGCCGTCCAGGATTCCGTAGTGAATGGCGGCCCGGCATATGCTGGACGACTGGGGGCAGGGAGCGGGGGACCATAAGTACATCTGAATTCATCTTTGTTCAGGCTTCTTTTGAAACGACCGGGGTGTTTGTCCTCAACCCACAAAAAGCCGAGACGTCTGGCCAAATCTCACCCCACTTCTGACTCACCTTTCCCTAGAACATGTCTTTGTTCCCGGGGTTGCTTATCTCAGAAAACTCATCCAAGGGGCCTTACAAACTAAGAGCAGTGACAAACAGCCATTTCTCCCCATCCAGTGGAGCATGTTAACGCTCTGTCTAGGACGGAGACTGACCTTCACGAGGGTGAGCCCCAGGTCCCCAAAGTGGCTTTACTAGTCTGTGCGCCCAGAGATAGGCGCGGATTGGCTCTGGGACTGAAGGGTGGAAAGAAAATCCCGTTGTGTGAAAACCCCCAGCCTCCCTTACAAATTACAAGTGCACGACAGGCGTCCACACAGGGCACTTACACTTTCATAGAACAGAGTTCCGAAGACCTTTGCCTTGCTGTCCAGGCAGCCTGCAGGGCACTGGTACCTGATGGAGGAGAAAGCAGACGGTTTTCAGAGGTGAACGTGGTGAGGGAATCTCACCAGGAATTCATCCGAGTTCATCTCCTTCAAGAGCTCTACTATTACATCAGAGAGAAGCTTTGGTGACGCAAAATCCACGGTGTCCAAGCAAGTCGCGATTTACCCAGGCTGGAGTTCACACCAACACCATTTCAGATTCAACCTGACCTTCTTTTCCCGTGTTTAAGATTCGTGTTGAAGGCAGAGATACGAAACGAAGGACAATTCACAGAAGAAAAGTGGCTTTAAAGGCACCAAAAAAAAAAAAAAAAAAAAATCCTCAAACATCCTTCATCAAAGAGCATACAACTTGAAAGAAGATGCCTCTTCCTAGGTGTCGAACTGCAAGGGTTTTTTTTTTTTTTAAAGATTTTATTGATTTATCTGACAGAGAGAGACACAGCGAGAGAGGGAACACAAGCAGGGGGAGTGGGAGAGGGAGAAGGAGAAGCAGGCTTCCCGCCGAACAGGGAGCCTGATGCAGGGCTCGATCCCAGGACCCTGGGATCATGACCTGAGCCGAAGGCAGATGCTTAACGACTGAGCCACCCAGGCGCCCCCCTTTTTTTTTTTTTTAAATAGAATAAAATCCAATGATGATGCTCCTGCCCATGAAATGCATAAATTAATCTTTCCAGAAAGCCTTAAAAATTCATATCCTCCCGTTCTTGAACTTTCCTTGTGAGCGTATAACCCAAGCCAGAGGTTGGAAAGTCAGACCCATGTGTTATTCCAAGTGCTTATAATCGTGAAAAACTAGAAATAAGCTAGCACTATCAAAGGAATCTCCCTTAGAAATGAAGTCTTTGAAAAATATTTGACTTTGGGGGCCCCTGGGTGGCTCAGTTGTTAAGCGTCTGCCTTTGGCTCAGGTCATGATCCCCGGGGTCCTGGGATCAAGCCCTGCATCCTGCTCCCTGCTCAGCGGAGAGCCTGCTTCTCCCTCTCCCACTCCCCCTGCCTGTGTTCCCTCTCTCGCTGTGTCTCTCTCTGTCAAATAAATAAAACCTTTAAAAAAAAAAATATTTGACTTTGGAAAATCTTAAATGAAAACCATCACGCACAACCCCACAGTGCACAGAAAGCACAAGGGAAGGGACTACATCAAATTGCCACGGATATCAAGGAGATGCCGGGACATTTATTTATCTATTTTTCCTTTAAACTTTGGTGGTAGTGTTGTTTTCCTGAATTACTTACCATGAACAAGAATACCTTTTAAAGTCAGTGGGGGGAAACAGGCCCAGTAAATATTATTTTATTTATGGGCTGCCTTCGAGGAGACAGGATGTGGACATGCTTGAGTCTGCAGGTGGGGGAGTTACAGGTCTTGACTAGAGGCCTCGAATAGTCCTTCTCCCTGCTTGCGGGGGGTCCCAGCTACCCCCGACTCTGGAACTTTCTCAGTGCTATCTGATGGATGTTCTCCGAGCCTTATAATTTCTTCCCACTGACTGCTCAGGGGTGATGCTCTCCTCTCCAGCTTATAGTACAGAAATACAGAAAGGCACGTCATCACGACGGGACCACTCTGCGTTCCAGATGCCCTGGAGCCGTGCACGGGGACAGGTAAGCCACCACCCCTCGGTGCCACATGTTGCTGATCTCACCAGTAAGCTGCCTGCTTTTTACTTCTGCAGTACATGCCGGCCAGCTGCTTGTGGGATGCGCCAGCCCTCAAGCGACCTCAGCCCGGGTCCCTCCAAGTCAGCTTCTGGACACTCCTGCCAGGGTCCAAGGGGGGCGCTCTCCCGGCAAACCAAATTCCAATGCCCCGTGGCATGAAGTGGGAGCTGCTACCTTCTCTTGTAAATAGCACGGTTCACCTTTAGAGGAACGGCTCCCAGAAGGCGGAGGAAGAGGAGTAAGGACCGCTCTCTACCGCGGACATGGTTTTCCGACCGTGAGCCCGAGGCTCTGCGTGAGGCCACCGTACATGTTGGCCCTCTGCTGCCGGAAAGAGCAGCCTAGCAGCTGCCCGGCCAAAACCAAACCCTCCCTTCTTGGCAACCATTCTGCAACGTCTGAACGGACAATGCTGAGTGGGTCCATCAGCGAGCTGACCTCCTTCGACTATCAGGGAACACCCGGGCAGGTCTTCCTCCAGCTTTGGGAAGATCAGGTTATACAGTGGGCCCGCCCTAACGTCCCCTGCACAGCACCCCGGGCCACTGTGACCCTCTCCACACACACCTCGTGAGGTCTCTATGTCTACAGCATCCATGATTCGGGCCTCTCCTCCCCACTGGGGACGAAACACTCAACTGCAATATATGTCCAGGCCAACTCCCTAGTCAAAGGTTACTACCACCTGGGGGTGATTTTACCCCTCCAGGACGGGGTGGGGGGGCAATTTCTGGCACCATTTTTAGTCATCACAGCTGGAGGTGGGAGTGCTCCTGGCATCCAGTGGGTTGAGGCCCGAATGCTGCCACTCAGTACCCTCCAGGGCACAGAACAGCCCCGCCACCGAGAATCATCCGGCCCTAAGTGTCAGGAGCGCCGAGGTTCCGAAGCCCTGCTCTGGGCTGAGAGACACAGATCACCTTCATGGGCCAAGCTCTTAATAAATGGTGGCAGTTGGAGGGACCTCGGAGACATCACGGTCAGTCTAACTTATGATCCGACCCACAACCCACAGCAGGCCCTTCAAAGACGCCAGAGGGGCCCAGCCCAGACCTTACCTGTTGCATGTGGACCCTTTGCACTTGTCCTTCATCTTGGTATCACATCGGACAACTTGGGCTAGGAGAGAAGTTCAAGAATGCATGTCACACAAACAGGGGATCGGTCTGAGGTAAAAGATACCAGCCCGCACTCCGACGAACTTTCCGGAACATCCTGGAATCCATGTCATAACCTGAGCGGAAGCACTGCCCAATGGCTGCAGGCATCAGCTGCAAGGTTCGAATCCCAGACCCGGCCCTTCAGAGTAGCCATGTGACCTTGGATGTGCGCCTTCCCCTCCTCTGAGGTTCAGGGGAGCAGTGGGGACAAGTGCCGTGGGTGCTCTTTCTGTGAGCATTCACTGAGAAAGTCAGTGTGGCCTTGGAAGGGGGCCTGGCTCACACCACATGCCCCGAAGCCCCAGAGGGTTCCCGAAGGCTGGGACTCACAGGCCTTCTCCAGCCAAGAAGAGTTCTGTCGAGCTCTCCTTGTTTGTTTCCTAGTGACACATCAGAATCTTGGCATAGCGTTACGGTTTGATAGAGTGACACTGTCAGGCCCACGAGGACAGAGACTGGTCAGGCAGGGCAGGGACAGAGCAGCCCAAAAAACTAGGGGGGGGCTGTGGAGAAACACGAGCACGAGCTCGGCCTTGCTTGGGATGGGGGAGCCCTGTTTTATGCTATTGGAGGCTCAGGGGACACGGAGAATCCCAGGCGGACAACCCAGGCCTGTGTTGTGCCCATACAAAAATGCCCCCTGGAGCCCCGAACCTTCCATAAAGGGACTACATCGGGGACATGGAACACTGCGCTCCAGCTGGGGCAGGTGAGGGCAGAAAGAAGGAAGCTGCGAGGTGAGTGTGCGTGTAGGGCAGGGGAAAGCCAGGTGAGGGGTGAGCACAACATTCTGCATCTGGGGGCCTCCAGGAGCCTCGAGGGGTACCGTGGTGAGGAGCTCAGAGCTGATACTGGGTGGCCCCCATGACTGCACATGATCCTCACAGCAACCCCACATGGGCCTTATTGCCCCCTTGTATGGATGAGCAAACCAAGTCTCACAGAGGCCAGTGGGGGTCCGAGTCACCAGCCAGTATGTGGTGAAGAAGAGCCAGAGCCCACCAGAGCCGGCCCCGGGGATGCTCGTCCCACTGGAACCTCCAGAGGAACCCAGTTTTAGCCCAGGCCCCCTTTGAAAGGCACTAACCTTGGGCTAACCTTGAAATGCTGCCGGGGGGCAGGGGGGAGAACGCCACCCAAGCACCACTCCTATGATGCTTGCTTTGGAAATGACTTAAAAATACCATTTTTTAAAACATGTCTTAGGGCTGTGCTTTTGCAGTTACCCACCCCCAACCCCGTTCCCCACTGTTTGCTGACCTGGAGACCTCTCAGGCCTCCCCCCAGCCCCCCCCAGCAGAGGCAGCCCAAGGGCAGAGGACGGAGCCCCGACTCACTCATGTAGGTCACTGCGGGTGCTTTCTTGGGCTTTGTGGGTCTGACCACCCTCGGCTGGACCCAGACGTGCTTCTCATCGGGAATGGGAGCCACCTCCACCTCATTCATCTCGTCTGTTTCGGGTTTGGGGCTGTACGTCTCCTCTTAAGAGTGCAGAGGGCGAAAAAGAGAACACGGTGAGGGGAGGATTCAACAGAAATGCACTTTACGGGGAAAACGGCAACTGGGCAAGTGGACTGGCTTGAGGTTCACGGTCACAAAGGGTCGGTTCAGCGGCAGAGAGAAAGTTACACTTCAGAGCAGGGCCGGCCAGGGGGAGTCCTACAGCCAAGGCGAGGCGGCCGGGCTCTCTGCACGCCATGTTTGCCTTGGACCCAGGAGCAGCCGGGCCGACCGGAGGCGCAAACCCCAGGGCCGCACCCGGGTGATCACAGAGGCTTCTCGTCCCTCCTCCCGCACGCCACCACCTGCCCGAGGAAGCGGCTTCGGGAGGCTGCCTCACCCTCTGACCCCAACCTAGCACTGTCTGCCCTGAGGTCCCTCTGGCCCCCGGTATTCACTGGGGGAGGGGTCTTCCTCAGTCCGATGACCCGCATCAGTGTCCTTGGACCAGGCTGCGCCCGGGCGCCGGGCACACTCTGCTCCCTTCTGCACCCCTGTGAGTCATCGCTCAACCAAGCCAACACCTTTCTCTGCCCTGAAGCTTCGCTGCCCAACGTGTACAACCAGCCAAAGACCCAACTCCGGGTTAAAAACAGAGTTACTCCATCGGGTCCCAGTATGTTTCCCACCCCCAGTATTATCTCTTCTCCAACCGTGACCACAACCCCCAGGTTTAACCCATGTTAATTAACCAAACAAATTCCATTTCTCATGAGCATCAGGACATCTTCCAGTTTTTCTCCTGAGAGACACCTGTGGGAGCTCATCAGAACCCACCTGTAGGCCATCAGGGTCCCCAACTGTAAATTCAGCCAACGCACAGGAAAGTCTTGCTGTTTTTATCTGCTTGCATGGCCTTGTCAAGGACTAACTGATGCGAACCTTTGTGGGGCGAGGGGGGGAGCCCTCTCACCTTTAGTGTGTGCACACCCATTCCCCAAGGGTGTCTGAGGACCAGAGCTGGTAACCCCTGCCTTGGGAGCCCCTCCTGGGCCTCTCTGTGGCATGGGATTCAAATTCAAGCAGCAGCAAGTGCTCATGAACCCCCTAGCCTCACCCCCCCACTTCCCCTTAGGAGCAACGACCTCCCTCCTCCAAAGGGGGACCAGGTGTTTTGTGGCTCTGCAAAACAAGGATCCAAAGCGAGGGCCAATTCTCCAGGGCTTTTCAAGGCTGGGATGTGCTGCATCTGTTTCACGGGCCAGTGCCCCCGACCCCACACACAGCCACCACCCCAGGTGAGGAGAGGGGGTGGGATTTAAGTGGGAGGCGGATGGCGGTCCTGAGCCCCAGTGCCATCCTTATCAGAGCTCTGTTGATAGCCATGAGGCCACCACCACCTGCCCCTCCCACCAGCTGCAAACTCCCTGGGGCCAGGAACCAGCCTGCTTCACCCACCCCCCTGCCCCCACCCCAGACACCCAGCTCCCATCTACAATTTTGCTCAACAAAATCTGCTGAATGAAGGATGAGCTAACCCTTAAAGAATTCTCTCTTTGAGTTCTTTCGGGAGAAAAAAAAGAGAGAAGAAAAGAGTCCCAGCTGAGTTTAAAGACCTTCACGATAAGAATTCTGAAAGCACCGTCTGGAGCCAAAAGCTATAGGCGAAATCTTTACGAAGACACTGGGTTTGCAAACGCCGTTCGGTCCACATCTTCTGTCTCTGGTCTGCTCTTCCTGTCAATGTGGCCATTCAGCTTTGCCCTTCACCGAAAGCCAGAGCTATCTCTGGAATGAGCCGGGTTTTCTTCCACTGGCCTTTAGGATTTTTATACCTCATAATCGTGGCTTTATTCAGCCGAATATAGTTTGGTAAAGCCGTCTAAAGCATTTGAGGGCTCACTATTTAAGAAAATGGGCAGACAGTCCTTGCCCTCAGACACACACATGAAAAGTGGAATGCTTACCCAGAGGACAGGCTGTATTTGAGCACATCCTAATTAAGATCCCCTGTGTGGAGCAGCGCAGGCCTGGGGAAATTCCATGCCCAAGTTCACCGCAAGGTTACCGTGCGCACCATCCAGCTCCGGACCAGGGGTCTCGGGCCCCACGGCATTGCTTACATCGGCCTGCAGGTTCCCACCTGGTTCTGTAGGTGGGGACAGAGCTCGTGGCTAATGTATACGGGGCCCACACTGCATGATTCCCCGCCAGCTCGACGCTTCCTTGGTGTGCTCTCCTCGCTCCCTAGGAGGCCTGATCAGCCCCATTTCACAGACAGGAAAACCGAGGCTCAGAGAGGCTAAGCTACCTGCCCAAGCTCACACAGCTGAGTGTCGAGCTGCCCGTCCAAGAAGCCCACACCCTTGATCACCACACGGTTTCACGGTTTCAGGCTGGAGGGACGGAAACGTCTCGAACGGTCTATCTTTAATTCTGCTCCATTTTCATTATAGGTCAAGGCCTTGCCAGGCACCCTCAGTTGGTGCTTATTAAGTAGCTTATGCAGATAAGCTGCTTTACAGGAGACTTTCCTCCTGGTTAGCTGAGAAAACTGGGATGCCTGCCAAGGGGACTTGGGTGTTTTCCACCAAAAATAAAGAAACAAGCACAAAGGCTTCATTGGGTGGGTAACCCAGCATCTGAGGTGTCTTTGTGTGCATGTGTTCTTTGAAAATGACTCTCTGTGTGTATGGGCAGCATATGCATTCAGATGGCCTGCAGAACACAGCTGCTCCATGACCCTAGAGCCCTCAGAGCAAACTGACAGTTGGAACAACAGGTGATCAGGGTTCCAGGAGAGTCTGGGGGCAGAAAGAGCACAGAAGCAGGTGCACTGCCTGTGTAGTCAGGGAAGGCTCCCGGGAGGAGGTGTGACACCAGAGCTGTGTTTCCAAGGAGAGGAAGGTATCTGCCAGGTTCACCACATGGATGAGCCCCCAGGCAGGGAGAGGGCCTACAGTCCCCACCAGGTGAGGAAGGACCCCATGCAAGGTGCTAAGTGCAGTCATACCTCTCCCCACCCCCACTTCTCCGAGAGGGTAATCAGTGTGTTTATAAGGCACTATGTGTGGCTTGCTGTGTTAGCAACCCACATCCTTCTCTCTGCGTCCTCCCAGCAAAGCTTCTACAGATGGACTCTTACTGCCACTGTTATAGATGGGCAGACTGAGGCCCAAAGAGAGCACGCAGTTTGCCTGAGTACGCACCTCCGATAACCATGGAGACAACCCCTAGCCCGAGCAGCTCTGGCTTGTGCTCCTGGAGCCCCTCATGGAGGAGCTGACAGGCCCTGAAAACAGCCCTGCAACGAGATTAGGCTGGAGCAAAGAACAGCGGGAGACCCAAGGAGAAGCCTCAACAGGCCTCGCTCTCCCACGGTCCCCAAATCAGCACTCGGGATCTGACGGGGGACTTGCCCCTCCCAGGGGACTGGACAGGAGCCACAGGTCCTGCCTGCCAGGGACACAGGGAAGGGCCCAGACACCAGCCTCCACCCACGATCTCGTCCTGCCCTGACCCCCACCTCCAGGCAGGGAGACTGAGGCTCAGAGAGAGAGGACGGCCTGCCCAGGGTCCCGCGGCTGGAATACGGCCGGCATGCTGTTCCTAAAGCAGGTGTGCCGGGCTCTAGACCCCGTGTCTCGTGAATGCAGGCTTCGGAGCGGGGATATCCGGGTGGTGGGGGGGTTCACTAAAGACAAGCGTGTGGAGCCCCGCCTCGGAGACAGAGAAGAGGGGTGGGCCAACGGGAGAAATTACAGTTAACAAGCCTCCCTGTCTCCGGGGCTCATGACCACGCCGCCCTCGTACCTACGGGCGCCTGCAGGTGCTCTGGCCCCTGTGGGAAGCACCCTCCCCTGCTCTCACCCCGAGGCTGCATCTCCCTCCTCGACGGCCAACTGCTCAGGAGGCCTTCCCTGACCCCGCCAGATGACAGCCAATGCTCTTGCTGTAAGCTCCCTGGGAAGACACATGTCACTACTCATGGCCATGACCCCACTTGACCCCAGTCTTATGAGGGTAGGGCCTTAAGTGTCAGGTCCCATGATCATCCCCACAATTACCACCTGGCAACGTCCTGCACACGGCAGGTGCTAATATAACACATCCATACCGAATGCGTGGACTCCCTCACTGGAGCCTGACGTACCCAACGGAAGCCTGGTGTTGTCATGCCCGTCCTGGGGCAGAGCGACCGAGGGGTCTGAGAACCAGCCTCGAAATCTGCCCCCTGGACACTCCACTGCCCATGGATGACACACGATCCAGGGAGCAGCACGAACAGGTTTGTCTTGCATCCGGATCCTTGCACCTCCTGCCCCTCGGCCCCCACAATGGGCAGAACCAGCAGTGAACAGCTAGCTGAGACAACAGGGCCCCTGGGCCACGACCGGGTCTGGGACCCCCATCCTAGCCCACCCGTTTCTGTACCCCAGAGCCCACCGGACTGACAGGGAAAGCCCGACGTGGAGAGCCGCCCTCTCCTGCACGCCCGCGCCTCGGGAGACCCTCCCTGCTGTCACAGGGCCTGCCGGGGCAGCCACAGGGACAACAGGTCCCGAACACGAACACCTGGTTAGCCCCTTGGGCCCAGTTCCGTCCCCCTGGGACAGAGCCCGAGAAAATACTGCAAAACATGAGCAACACTTTAGGCCCCAGATATGTTACTTCTAGTAGCGGGGACATTGGAAACGTCCTGAGAGGCCGACTAGAAACAAGGGGCAGGATACGTGGCAGATACACGGCCCCTGAAAGCGGGGCATCTGCCCAGGCCGCGGCGGGGAGGGAACCGTGAACATTTACGGCAAATCCAGGCGAGGCATCGGCAAGAGGCAAACAGGGTGGAAGGAAGGAGGTCATCAAGGAGAAAGGCCACCCCTGCCCAGCCTGGAGGTCACCTGGGACGGGCACAGTCTGGTTTGTTGTGTATTTAAGCCGTGAGCGCCAATGACAGCAGGGACGCGGGTGCGCCCAGCACCCAGCTCAGGGTGTGGCCACGGGAGAGGCCTCCTGGGGGGACATGCCAGCGCAGCCCCGTGTCCCCAGGGAGCCGGGGGCTGAACCCCGGGACTGGAGGGGGGATCTGCCCACCACACACGGCTGCACAAGCAGGGGGAGGGGGCGCCTTGACTTCAGTGTCCCGTTTTCCCGTTTGACCCACAGACAGAGGGGACAGTCACTCGGGGCGGCTTCGAAGTCACTTCCTACCTCGGTAACACAGGTTGTTCTTACAGCCGCCTCCATAGCTGGGCGGGCACTCGGAGCAGGGCCGGCCGGTTTTGTACGGGGCTTCTCCAATCCAGTTGCCCCTGCGGACACACCAAACACACCATCAGGAGGGGCCGCCACCCGAGGGCCGGGGGCCCCTCCTCTCCCCCTTCCTGGGCCATCCAGGGGAGGAAGGAGGGTGTGTGTGCTGGGTAAAGGGGGAGAGGCAACTGCACGGAGCCTAGAGAATTCTCGAAGAATGCTGGTCGGGAGCTGTGACACATCCTTCCTCCCAAGCACCTTGGTCCCCTCGTGTTGGGGTGTGTGTTACCACCCCCCGGGCCCCACATCTGCCCGTGTCCTGCCTTACACGACTCTGAACACTGTCCCCCACCCCCCACCCCAGCCCCAACCCCTTTGTACTGGAAAGCTGCTGAGCTCCCCCCTGTTAAGCCATTTCTCAAAGGAGTAAAAGTCAGCACGTTCTAGGGAGTACCTCATGTTTACTAAGCTCCTACAACCAGGTCCCCCCATCCTTCTGACACCCAGGAGGGACGTGCTGGAATTCCATCCTTTTTTAGAGGAGGCCACTGGGGCTCAAAAAGGTTAGGTGACCTGCCCAAGGTCACACAGCAAGCAAGCAGAGGGGCTCAGAGCCTTTGAGCACTCTGCCCTCGCGGTTGGGACCAAGGTCCCTCCTGATGTCATGGACACCGTCCCACCTCCCTCTGAAGTTCCCAGGCAGGAAAACTGGAGACTGGTCAGGGCCTGGTTCTCTGGGAGCCAGGTAGCAGGTGTGGAGCAGTATCCCCAAGCCCCTCTCCCAGAGCCTGGGCCTTTGGCACACAGGCTGGAGCCATGCGTGACCGGGGAACAGTCTCTGTGACTCCTTCGAGAAACTTCCTTCGGGGTTGACCTGGATGGTCACCCATCTGTTCACTCAGGAAGGCAATCCAGAGCCCCGCTACTAAGCTAAGCCTCCCTCCGCTGAGCAGTCCAGAGCGACTCCCCAAGTTGGACCCCAGCCCTGCCTGCCGTGTGACCCCACCGCTGCCCTCAGCCCTGGCCCTCTGTCTCCTTCTCTGTAACAGGGGCCCCATCGGGAGGTTGTGTGGTGACAGAGTGATGGGCCTCAGACCAGGGCCCTGCTCATGGTGAAGGTCGTGTGCTCTGCGAGCGTTTGCTGAATCAACAAGCTTGTCAGGTGGCGTTTCTGACGGCTTTTCAGGGAGGTCGGGGGCCTGGCTCAGCGACCTGCATGGCCAGGGGCTCGGACTCTTGAGGAAAGACGCCACACAGCAATCAAAACGGCCCACTGAACAGGCAACACTGCGCACAAATCTCAAACGCACGGTGTTGAGCAGATGCTGGGCCCGAAAGGGCATACATGTCTGGTCCATTCGCGTGAGGGTCCAAACCAGACACTGACCAATGCAGAGAGATGTTGGATGGTGGCACCTCTGGGGGACATTCTGGGCCCCTGGAAATATGCTCCATCTTGAGCTGGGGGGTAGTTACAGGGCTATATACGTATTATACGGACTGACTGTGCATCTCCCCCCACCACCCGTTAATTCCTGCATTGAAGCCCTGGGGGCACTGTGTGCGGAGACGGGGCTTCCCAGGAGGTAAGTGAGGTGAAATGAGGTCACGGGGTAAGGCCCTGATCCCCCAGGACTAGTGTCCCTAAAAGAGGAGACACGAGGGAGTCTGAAGAAAGGCCACGTAAGGACACAGGGAGGAAGGGACTTGCCGGCATCCGGCCCCGCCGTGCCTCCTCCTGAGACGCGCAGCCCCTGGGCCTCGGTCATGGCCGCCCGCGCCGGCTAGCCCACGCAGACACATGTGGGATTTATCCGGCTGCACACTTAAGACTAGTGTGTATCATCCATATGTTATTCTTTTTTTCAAGAAAACAGCTGGGCGCTGAGAAAGGCAGAACTCTGTTTCTGATAGGATCTTCAGGTTTTTTTTTTTTCTTTTTTATACAGAGTGGAATCGAAGTATCCCTCACGCCCCAGCGGCCACTCTGCCGGGGATCCCACCATCGTGGGCCAGTTACTGCTCGTCCACGGGGCTGGCGTGCCCCCCAACCGCAGCGATGACCTCATCCGCCCGCCCTCACGCCGGGCCTGTGGGCTGTCAGACACTCGACGGAGAGCATCTATTTTCCTCCTGACCTCAGCGATTCCTTCTCATCCCACCTCCTCACGGCCACTGCTGACCCAAACCAAGTAAGTGAGGTCATCCTCATGTCATTCGGTCACTGAGCAAATATGCCTCAAGGGCATACTGTGCGCAGGGCCTGGTGCTAGGCGACGGCCGGCCCCATGGCCGGCAGGCAAACCACAGGCCATACCCAGGGAGGGCAATGCTCTAAGAAGCAGCACGTTATTTGATGAGCAAAGGAGGTGAATGAGTCAATTGAAGGACAGATGGCACACTCATGATATCAGGATGCTGTGAGGAGGAAGGGGGCTGGGACACAGAGGCTCCGGGTGGCCTTTTCTAGAAGGGAAAACATAAAAATGCAAAAACTAGGTGTAGCAGGTATACGTTTCCTAGAGTGCTATCTGCTGCATATTTTCAGAGGAAAAAAAGAATATCGCTATGGCACACCCCGCTGGTTGGCCAGCCAACAGCTATTCTGGCTTCTGATTTGCTCAGGGAGTCCCAGAAGATGACTTGCAAAGCCAGTTGGGCAATTTCATTGGTTGAAGCCAATTAAGGAAATCTTGTGCTCCCCACCACCCCCCAATCTGTGAGGAGTCTAGTTCTGGCCAATGACATAGGGAGAAAGTGGGCCAGGGCTGAGAAAGGCCCAAGAGAAAGCCCTTTTCTACCATTCTCTTCCCTTGAGTTTGGGAAGATGTGATGCCCGATGTTCTGCAGCCATCATGGAACCACGAGGATAGGCTCGTACAGCAAGGAAACAGAAAGAGCTTGAGTCCTCACTGACACTGCTGAGCTTTTAAGTTGAACTGGATGCATCAATGTCTAGATGTCTTGTTATGTGAACCAATGAAGAGACCTCACCATTTAAGCCAACTTTAGTTGGGTCCTCCGTGCCAGGCAAATGCATCCCAACCCATGCAACCATGTTCCTTGTTCTTACTTTGGAGAGTAATTGCAGACGAGGTAGACCGCATTCTCCCAAACATCTCCCCAAACGTTCATCCTCTCGCAGGTGTTCACAGCACAGCCAATCTTGTTGGTGGTGGCCCAGACTATCTGAAAAGATGACATCCACGTGTCAGAGCCAGGGACAAGGCAGAGCGGGGCAACGTAGTCTGGCCTGGATCTCCAGGGTGCTGGCACTAAAGGGGTGTATGCTGTGAAGGGGTGAAGGACCAGATTTTCTCCTTAACCCCCTGAAGATCCATGTTTGTTAAACACACACACACACACACACACAAACAAAAACAAACCACACACGAGGAAAGTGTGCTAGTGATGGAAAATAGCACTTACTGCCCGTTTCTATGCTTATGTCACAAATCCAAGCTCAGCCCAGCAGCCGTACTTTAAGTAACACCAAATTAAAGGAAAATATTATGGTAATGACAGGGCAGTTTTCCAACTGGGCAGCAGCCCTGCAGGGCCAGGTGAGTGATGGGGTCTGGGGGTGCTGGGCTGAGGTCTCAGCTCGGGCCTCGGGGGTTACCTGTGTGTAGTGGGTGCACATGGGCCCAGAGCACCTCTCTGGACACCAGGGGTTGCACTCGTGGGGGTAGGGGTAGGTGTAGTCCTTCACCTCGTCATACCAGGACTGGACATGGAAGCCAGGAGAGCGGTACCTAAGAGGGCAGATCAGCTAGTTACGTCCCGGCCACCACACACGCGACAGACCGAGACCACAGCTCACGGCACAGCCAGCCACGGGGTGGGCTGGAGAAGGGGGCTGCTGTGGGCAAACAGCCCCAAATCCTGCCCAGCACCTGCTGTAAATGCCTATAACCCAAACTTGCAAGGAGCTCACCTGGGCATCCCTGGAGTGCCTGGGTTCCAGGAATTTCCCTGGGTGGCCCACACGCCACCTGTGTGTGCAGGAGACATTTGCCTGGCCTCCAGTGAGTCATTGTTTATATTACAATTATGTATTTATGCCCATGTACATTTGGGGAAATACATGTAGCCCACGCACCCCCGATTTCCCAGATATGATTGTTAAAACACAACTTGATTGAAAACATGAGTCCCTTTAAAGTCAGTGCAGAGGAAAACAGTGAATAAGTAACTGTCCAGGTAATGCACAGAAGGGACGCCGGGGAAGGTCTGAAAGCTGCAAAATAGCCGGCTATGGGGGACAGGGCACATGGGTCCCCATCACCCCCAAACAAGAGCCTAGAGGCTCACGTTTCTCTATCATCGTGACTGGCTTCATTCCTCAGCTGCTGGTGGGGAGACCTAAGGACTCAGATACAAGGTAGAAAATGAACTGAAGATGCAGAAACCTGCAGGGATGCAGAGCCCTGCTGTCACGTGGGCAAATCCTTTCCAAAACTTCCTATTTCGGATCTGATCCCCTGAGCCCTCCCTCACCCCCACCCTGGTCATCACCATGGGTGGCCACGGCCCCCTCGCTCGGCCCCATCCACCAGGTTGGCATCGTTGCTTTCTTCCCAGGAAAGAAAATAAACTGAACACAAATCACTGGTCAGCGTCACCAGCAAGTGTAAACAAAGCGGTTTCGATAGAGAGAGAAGACACGAGGGGTCTGGCCGTTTCTGAGAGCACTGTGGTGAGCTGGGCAGTTAGAGGTCTTGTAACAATTACCATCAGAGCCCAGAGCGCATGGTGGTGGTCAGTGACGTGGCCGGGGCCTGCTTGGAGAAGGACGCTGGCAGCCACGGAACCACGGAGCCACAGGGCTGTGTGGGGACACCCGTGCCCGTCCAGTTCCCCAGAGTGCCACGGCCAGGCTGCTGCAGGGGCCCGGAGAACGAAGGGGGCTCTTTGGGAAAGCAGGTCGGCACTCAGCATCCCGCAGGGGCAAGCCCTCTGTGCCCCCCGCACCATCAGTCCCAGTACTAAGCCTGATGCAGCAACAGCAAGACCAGATCCAAGAATGGCAAACGTTCGGGCTCTCGGCTCGATGGCCCGAAGGTAGCCTTGACAATGATCACCATGACGGCTACGGAATAGAAGAACTGTCTGATACCATATGAGAAGGGGGGAAAGAATTAAAAGCTGTCCTGGCCACCGTTACCACGAAGTAAAAATATGCCGGCCCACAGCCAGATGCTACACAGGAGTCCAGGAATATTCTGGCTGCTAAGCCAGGCCAAAGGAATGATGGGTTTTTTCCCTGTAGACATTTTCTTTTCATGCTACCGGAAGACTGATTTTACAAAAAGCAGAATTCACCAGAAGACAAAAAAAAAAAAAAACAGGTGTTAATTCACTTCTGTGAAGTCTGGACCCCTTATGACACCTGCTCAGGTTCTGTCCTGGAAAAGCACTGACCTAAAGGAAGCCGACTGTTGGCAGCCACACTGAACGCAGGCTCTTACGGAGCTGGGGAATATCTGGGCTGCAAGACGGGCACCCTGTGCTTTGAAGGGATACTTCAAGTCCGGTCCAACTTTTCAATGATGCCGGCAAAGCACAAGTGGGCCTTGAGCCCCTGGCCAGCCCTGGGTTCGGCCCCAGAGGACTTGTGTCCACAGCACGTTGTCTGGCTGGTTGATGAGTTTGCACTGGTGAGAAGGCACGTTCCCCACATCCCCTAAGGAAACCAGCCCTCAGCCGGGTGGGTGCTCAGATGCATGCATCTTAGAGACCATGCTCAAGAGCCTCCTCCAGGCAAGGGGGCCTGGGTGGTGAGGGCGAGCCTCCCCATGGCCGGACGAGGAGGGGAAGGTGAGGGACAGCTGCTCACCAGGTGGAACCTGGCTGGACCTGGAGAAGGAGCAGAACCCAGACGTGCCGGGGCAGAGAAGACACTCTAACCAGCACTGCATAAGCAACATCCCCGTGTTCCCAGCTCACCCGGCCACTCCCTGCCGCAACGGGCTCAAGAATCCTTTCAAGGAAGTGGGATGGAACCCTCAAGCTAGAAACCCCGAGCCTGGTGATCAGTGTCTGGAGCCAACAAGCAGCCTCGCATCCGTTTTGCCACTTACTTGGAAGTGGCCCTGGGCACTAAGCCTGTTTCCCCACATTCAGACGGGCACAGGGGATCCTGAGGACTTAAACGTGACAACGGACAGCGAGCACCAAGCCCAGCACACGGTAGGTGCTCTGCAGGGGCGGCCAGTTCACAAGCGAGAGGGGACGGTGGCGGCTCTTACCTGCCCCAGTGGACGGCCAGGTTCTGCCCAAGGGACACCAGCAGACTGGTGGGCCCGTGCTCCCAGAGGCACTTGTGAGCCCACGCCGCCGACGACCGCTCCAGCTCCTCGTCCCAGGTCTGTAGGGAGAGGAGACACGGGCCGCCAGGGTCAGGGATGGTGCAAGAATGAAACCTACAGCCACAGGCCCCACATGGACCCCACACGGAGCCCGGGCCAGGTCTCCGTTCTCGGACACTGGGGTCCACGCAGATGTTGGACAGGCTCCTGACCCGGCAAGCGGGGAGGGGCAGGCAGCAAAGAACTCAGAGCAGCCCAGCCCACGGCGGTCCTCGCAGTTCCTGCTCTGGGCTCCCACTTGGCCGGGATGCTGAGGCAAGCCCCTTGCCTGGGGGTGCCCTCGGCGCAGCCCTGTGAACATGCTGAACACCACAGAACTGTATGCTTAAAAGTGGTTGAAAGGGTGAATTTTATGTTTTGTGTATTTTACTGTTCTAAAAAGAAAAAGGAGCAAGAAATGCCTCCGTCCCAGCCCATCCTGCTCTCCTGCAGCACAGGCCACCCGGACCCAGGGGGAGGGGGTGGGGGGCAAGGGCAGGGTCTGGGCCAGAGGATCTGAAACAGGCTGCACCTCCCGTCCTGCCTCCCCGCCGGCCCAGGAACGCACATAACTCCCCGGGAAGGAACACGGTGAACAAAGCAGGGGGCTCATTGCCCTCCGGTCAGCTGCTGTCCGTCCTCCTCCCAGTCGCCAGGCGGGCAGGCACTGTTCCCTCTTGGGGGCGCCCCAGCCCCCGGCACACAGTAGGTGCTCATGGGAAGACGGTCAGGCAGAGCCCCAGGACCTGGCCGGGAACGGGACACTGACGGCGCTAACTGCGGGCCCCCAGGATGGAACATCATGAAGCCGAGCACCTCCCCAACCTCCTGCCCAGCTGCCTCTTTCCGGCCTCAATGCCGGAGATTGCGGAACATCCAGGGCGAGTTCTGGCCTAGGGCAGACGCCTCTGTGGACCTGGGGCACACCCCTGGATGCAGCCCCCGTTTCGGCTGCAGTGGATGTTCTGGGTACACTCGGACATCAGACTCCTCTCTTGACGTGCCCACCAAGCACTGTGTCCCTTCTGCCTGGGATCCTTCTCCCAAGCCCGGGACAGCCTGAAGTGGGGAGGGGACAGGCTGCCTTCGGGTGGGTGATCCTCCTGCTGCTCTCTTTACTTAGCAGATCCAAGCCCCCGCTCTCACCGGGAGACCCCGGAGTATACCGTGATGTTGGACTTCCTCCTTCCTGTCTTCTGGACTTGTGCATCACCCCCTCCCCGATAAACTACCCGAACCAACTTGGTGGCTCCATCTCCAAACAAGCACCCGCTGATGCTCCATGAAGGAAGAGACACCATCCACTGTGAGGGGAGGGCAGTGGGGACAGGAGGGAACACCAAGATCCCTCTGGCCATGGCCAGCTAAGGCCCTTCCCAGAGTCCAGGGAGGCAGGGCAGAGTGCGTGCAGGCGCTGACCCCACCCCGAGGCTCACTAGCTTCTCAGAAGTTCACTATCTATTCTGATCAACGTGAACCTTGTGTGCCTTTGGTCCGCGTCCATAACATTTTCTACAGCTCAGCGGGGATGGCTATAGGGAGGGCCCTGGCAGATCTCTGGGGGTTAAGGCTTCCGAAATTCTGGCTAGAGGTAGAGGACGCAGCCAAACAAGGACCTAGCTCTCCCCTCCCTGCTTTCGAGGCCTCCTTTTGGGCCCACCCTGCACCTCCCACCCTTCACCTCCGACCCTTCTCTTGGCTCCAGCTGTGCCTGGCACATAGTAGGACCTCAGAGAGGCACAGGTGAACATTCTCTACCCCCCAAAGGGAGGACTGGGGCAAGAAAGAGGGAAAGAGCCAGGCAGTGGGGGGCACTGGTGAGAGTGTGGGGCCAGGCTCTGCCCCTTGCTGGCTGTGTGACTGTGGACAAGCGGCTTCACCTCTCTGAGCCTGTTTCCCCACCTGGGCTAATGATGTCGCCGGAACAGGATGTGGGGGAAGGTTGAATGAGCAGGCATCAAGCCCCCAGGCGAGATGCCGAGCAGCTCTCAGTAAACAGTACCTGGATATTAAGGAAATTATCTTTCTCAAGCACCTACTACGTGCCAGGGGCAGGGTCAGTCCCTCCCTGTACCTGAACACCTGCCACTTGCCAGAGAACATTATTAGCACCACTTTCTTATTTAATTCTCAGAATAAGCCCTTGAGGTTAAGTTATATTTTCCCACTGTTGCAGACAAAAATACCCAAAAAACAAAAAAAAAACCCTTGAGGCTAAGAGAGGTTAGGTAACTTGCCGAAGGTTAAACAGCAGGAAGTTAGAACTTCAACAACCCAGCTTTATCTGGCTTCCGAGGGGTCTCATCTTGCTCTGCATGCTGTCACCAAGGGCTGGTCCCACTCCTAAAATAATAAGTCACTAAAATAGTAACAGCAACAGTATAGTTAACATTTATTTAGCACTTATGCATTATCTCATCGACTCCTCCGAACAATCCTATGAGAAAGGTACTTTTATTGCCCCGATTGTGCAGGTGAGGAGACATTAATACAAAGAGACTAACTAATCTGCCTGAAGTCACCCAGCTACCAAGTGGCAGGCTGGCTCCAGAGCCCGTCCACCTATAAAACCTCAGAATAGGGTGTCTCAACTCTTTGGAGTTTTAATGTCCGCCTTTCAGGGCTACGGCTATTTCAAAAGGACCACGGCCGGAGCCCCAGCAGGCACGGCTGAGCAGGAAGCTGGATTTTCAAGACACTTTCTCAAATGAGTGCCCCTTGTTTGGGTGGAGACCGGAACAGATAGGCAGGCCTGGGGTGGAGGGGCTGGGCCTCGTGCTACCTCCCCTGCCTCGGGGCCCCTGCTCAGAGGCGTCGCCAACACCACCAACGAAGGCCCAGCTTCCCTGACAGGCAAGCCATTTAGACCTAAAGACCCAGATCCCAGCTCCACCCCTGAAATAACACAAAATAGACAGGAAAGCATGGCAGGTTCGTGAGAGGCTGCACTAACGTTCCCTGCTGCCTATGTGAGCCCTGCTCACTGCACCGCATCTTCCATACAGCCCTGGACAAGCATAGAGTGGAGACGTGAAGACCAGCGTAAACTGAGCCCGTTCCTGATAGGAGGCAGGAAGCAGCCAGGATCCCCGGGGTTTGGGGCTCAGTCAAGCTCCCTGCTCCCTGCTGGGCACCATATAGGGCCTTGGGGTGGGAGGCGGCCCAGGAGGAAGGCCGACCTATACAGAGAGGTGGAGAGTGTCCTTTCCCCCCCGGGGACCGGGCCAGGTGTCAGGAAGGATGGGGGAAGAGTCCACACCGAAAGCCACCAAGAATTCTACTCTAATTCTCTACGTCTTCAACCCGAAAAAGGCCTGCACCAGTTGCTGATGCATTAGTATTTTGAAAGGGTGCCCGCTCTTCCTAAGATTAGCACAACCCCTTCAGAGTAAATGCCTGGGCCATGTTCTTGAGGAAAAGAAGAAATGGTTTCATAACAAGTTCCCAAAGGACAGCCTTGCTTCCGAGGGTGTTTGCCCAGAAGGGCAAGCCTTTCATCTGCCCTATAGCTGGTGACGGGCCACCTCGTGAGGGCAGAGACGGCAACACTGAGGGGTTCCCAGGGACGCGGGGTGCTCCCTGATCACGAGCACCACCTACATCAGAGCCTAAGGCACCAGGAAACGGGACAGTAGAGTCCAGAGGAGGGAGAGGAGCTGGGTCTTGAGTGAGGCTTGCTTACGACGGGGGTGGGGACAGGACTCCTGGGGGAGGGAGGGCCTGGTGGCATCTTCGGGGAACACCGAGTGGCCTCTCAGGACAGATGAGCTCGTGATCGAAGGCCTCCAGCGCCAGGCAGGAGCATTTGGGCTCCATCCTGGGGACAGAGGGCCCTGAGGCTCCTGAGCAGGAGACAGGCTTGCTGAAGGTCAGGAAGGGCGCAGGAAGCAGGGCTCAGGGCGAGCCAGCAGGGGACAGCGTGGGAGGTGAGAAGCCCCAGGGCTGATCGAGGTGTTGGGGGGACAGGCTGGGCAGACAGGAAGCGGGCAGGGGCAGTGGGGGTGCCAGGGTTTAAACTGGGTGCGGGATGGTGGCTGCGAGCCTGGGTCCTGCGGTCTGTTCTGCCACTACCGTCTCTGACCTCGGGCCTCAGTTTCCTAGTCTATAAAATGGGAGAAAAGCAGCAAGTGTGTCACAGGGCTGGGAGGACGGGAAGCGGTCCTGGCAGAAACAGAGGGGTGCGCGTGGATGTGGGGCCGGAGGCATGGGCTTGGAGGGCCGGCTGCCCCTCTGCTCCTTATGCATGGGATTTCCCCAGGCTCACGGGAGACCCTCCACTGTACCCTCTCTGCCAGCCCCTCGCTGACAGACACCCCATCTCTCACGGACTCGGCCCCGTTGCTGCTCAGACGGAGGAGGGCGGCAGATGGGGCTGGATGAAGCACTTACCATGTACTCCATGTTGGAGGCCGGGGGGTACACCTGGCCCCTCAGTTTGTTGTGAAGCATGAGGATCTCCTCCTTGTCCAACCTGGGGATGGCCCTCCGGACCCGGGAGTGGGGCTTGTCCTGCTGGTATTTGCTGAGCAGCTTCTCCAAGTGGGTGACGTTGGGCAGGAAAAAGCCTTGGGCTCCACAGACCAGCAGCACCAGCCCCAAGGGGACGACTCTGTTCAGGACACAGCTCATGGCGCCACGCAGGGAGCGAGGACCAGGGGGACCAAGCAGGCTGGGCTCTTAGGCAGCGCTGGGGCGCGGAAGCTCTGAAGGAAAGCAGAGGGCAGTGGGGGGAGAAGTGGATCAGTCTTAAACCAGCTCCAGCGTGAGCTTGAGCAGTGAACAGCTATCCCTCTCCCCACTTTGCAGATGTGAAAACCGAGGCTCCCAGAAGCTCAGTAACCAAGGTCCCACAGACAGGAGAGGTGGAGCTACCCTGGTTCCTCTCTCCCTAGACGGTCACAGAGTGTCCGAGAGGACAAGGCAGGGCTTGAAAGAGTGTGTTTATTCACACATCTCACCTCTGCTTCACCTCCAAGGGAGAGTCCGTCAGTCACGGGAGCTTTCCTGGGCATCTAGTTTGTGCTATAGACACTACGCCTTGCCCCGGGGAGCTCCCACTCGGGCTGGGGCGAGAGACGAGGAAAACCACAGTCCCCACCTGCGGGGCAGCGCTGACCGCGGGCGAGGAGCTGGAAGAAGGGGCTGCAGAACCCCGCCAGGGTGCTGACCCGCCTGGGACCCCAAGGGGCCGTGTCCTTCCATCAAGGCTCCTTCGGTCTTCCCCCACACGAGCCGCAACCCGCTCTCATCAGTTGAGTTGGCTAGGTTTGCAAGACAACATCCAGCAGAGGCATCGGCAGGGGCACGGCACGGAGGGGCAGGGAGGCAGCGTGTGAGGCTGAGCGTGGAGCCAAGGAGCCATGGGAACCGGGCAGTTCCCACTCTGACCCTGGCAACTCTCCAGGGTCCTGACCGAGCTTCAGACAAAAATAACCACCATCCAGCAGGGAGGCCCGGCATTCTCTGGACTGGATGAGACGCAGCCTCCCTCCGGGGGAGTTCCCTCTGGGGCAGAGTCCCGGGGACGGGACGGCACAGAAGGCCGTGTGTGCGCTCGCCTGCCCCACTGGGAATCAAACCAGTAATGCAGACCCCTGCGGTCCCGACTCCTCTCCAAGATTAGTCGCACTGCCATATATGAACATTTCCCAGCTGCAGAAGGCCAGGCTGACGGAGATGCCAAGACACTGACGCTGGACTGCCCTCGGTGACGCAGCAAGAGCAGAGACCCACGTCATGGAGCACCCACGGGGCATCACAACGGCACGGGGTCTGCGGCACTCTCTGCCTCAGCAGCTTCAGGGCCAGGTACCCCCGAAGGCATGAAGCAGAACTGCTCCTAGGACTCAACTGTTCCACTGGACTAAAGCCTGGGTGGGGTTTAAATCACCAGTGGGCACCATTCAAATGACTCTCATGGGGGGACAGGTAAATAGACGGTGGGGCAGTCGGGTGGAATATTACACAGCAGAGAAAAGGAACAACCTAGAGCCATGTGAATGTCAGCATACGTAAGTCCCAAATCCAGTGTTGGGTTAGAAAAGTAAGTTGGAGAATATAACGCTAATGGTCCTATTTACGCCAACTTTAAAACATACGGACCACAGTTTGTGTAACTTACAGGTACACATGGATACAGACACACATACATATATGTGTATATTACATGTGCATATCGTACACATATATAATACACACATATACATGTGTCTGTTTGTGTGTACATATGTGTACATAGGGGTGTTTATATAGTAAAACCACACCTGAACCAGACCAAGTTCGTGGTGCTGGTTGACTCCAGGGTGAGGGATGGGGAACTGGGAAGGAGAATATGAGGGACCTCGTCTCGATCTTTAATATATTATTTGTATTTTTAAAATCTCAAGCAGGGGCGCCTGGGTGGCTCAGTTGTTAAGCGTCTGCCTTCGGCTCAGGTCATGATCCCAGGGTCCTGGGATCGAGCCCCGCATCAGGCTCCCTGCTCAGCGGGAGGCCTGCTTCTCCCTCTCCCACTCCTCCTGCTTGTGTTCCCTCTCTCACTGTGTCTCTCTCTCTCAAATAAATAAATAAAAAATCTTTAAAAAAAAAAATCTCAAGCAGATAGGGCAAACTGTCCACCTCTGTTCACTTTAGGGGGACAGGCTGAGTTGGGAGGAACGGCAAAGCAGTAGCCCAAGGAGGGTGGGTGCAGGGGCCGGACCTGGGTGGGGAGCCCATGCTATCCTTTGGACGTCTCCGGTTTTTAAAAATTTCAATTAATAAAACAAAACAAAATGCCGAAGCATGAAAAGACAAGGAAGCAATTGCTGGTTCCATGTGCATCCTTCCGGCGTGTTCTCCTGAACTGGTGAGACCTTATTCCAAAAAACAAGACAAGCCGCCTTCACTGTGCACTTGATGGGGCCGCCCGAGCCCAGCACTTGGAGGCTGGTCCTTGTCTGCATGGCCCCACAGAGAATTTGTAAAGCCTCAAGGGCAGCTTTTGAGTTGGGAGCACCGTTTCCGGGGTTTAGTTACACGCTCCCCACAGAGAACACAAAGGACAGGAGACGAGACATTTCTCCAAGGGCCTCCTTGGCCTCACCTCAGCCAGTCACCACCCGGGAAACACAGGTATGCCCTGGGTCGTGCCGCTCACAGCATCGCAGGGGAAGCATGCCCATCGCACTGTTGGTTCTGAGAGTGGCCTGGCCTGGCGAGAGCTCAGGGGACCTGGGGGTCCTCGCTGGGTAGGAGTGAGGCCCAGATCATGCCGCTCCTGCTAAGTCTGGGCTGCAGGACGACACCAAAGGCTTTAGCAGAACCGTGAGGACAAGGTGGCCAGAGGCTCTCCTCCCGGGACCCTGCACGGTGCTGCTCTGGACTGAGCTGTGGTCCCCCAGATTCACAGGCTGGAGTCCTGACTCCCAGAACCTCAGAATGTGACTGTATTTGGAGACAGGGTCTTTAAAGAGGTCATTAAGTTAAAATGAGGTCACTAGGTGAACCCTGATCCAATCTGACGGCTGTCATCATAAGAGAGGGGATTGGGATGCAGACACCCACAGAGGGAGGATCCACAGGGAGAAGGCGGTGTCTACAGCCCATGAGAGAGGCCTCAGGGGACAGCAGCCCTGCCCACAGCGGGGGCTCAGGCCTCCAGAAGTATGAGAAAATACTGGATGAACAGGACTGCAGTCCCAATACCCCACTGGCCGCTGTGGGAAGGAGGTGGGAGGGGGGTGCAAGGTAAATCAGGAGGCCAAGGCCCACTTCCCAGGGGCATCACCAGCACCCTGGGCCTGCGCGGCCCCTCCAGCCTCTGCCGCCCCAACAGCTTAACCAGAACTTAGGGCCTAGACACTCCAGCCCCTTTCCCACCCACCATCAGACAATTTAAACCCTTTCTTATATGAGATGCGTGCACTGTCCGAAGCTGCTCGGGGCTTCCCAGGGACAAGTACAGTCCCCAACGGACCGACCGGGGAGGCTGACACTGAGGGAGACCTACTGCACACCAGTCCCTGGATTTCTCATCTCACCCACCTGATGATCCAGAGGCTTGGGTTCTACTGCTGCCATTTTACAGAAGAGGAGACTGAGGCCTCTGCAGTGTCCGGAAGAGCCCAGAGTTGTACAGTGGGTGAGCAGAAACTGAGCGCTGGGATGCAGCCCATCCCGCCCCAGGACCCTTTCCTTACGCTGCCCTGTCTCCCCGAGAGTGGGCTTCCTGGAGTGCCCGGCACCAGCCTGCAGGGGAGGGGGCCCCACGGCAGCCCCATCCACGCTGGCCTGCAGGTCAGATGGTGGTTCCTGGCAGTTAGAAGACACCTGTGTGTCACCCCCAGGGGACTAAAACCTTACATCATGGTGACCTTTCACCAAAACACGCCTCCATCACCGGGCCTGCACGCACCCAACCTCCCTGCATCGCTGCGCCTGTGACTCCCACGTGGCGAGCTGACCTCCGACCCCGGACATCGACGGATGCTCTCTGAAGAGCACTCTTGGACCCACGGTTCTCCGAGGCTCGCCAAGGGCAAACCTCATTTCTAGAGAAGGCCTCCTCCACTCTGTCACCCCCGGCCTGTCTCCAGTGGCTGCAGACACGCATCGCGGACCGCTGAACAGCGCAGCCGAAACGCTCTCTGGAAGCTCTGGCACTCCTTTGCCACAGTTGCAAACCCAAGCCCGTGACCGTACAGACAGGACTCCTGAGAACGGGCCAGATGTCAGGCCCCCAGGGAGGTGGGGAGGGGGACCAATGACGCTTTCAGGCCCCAGGGCCCGTGGCAAGACCCCAGCCTGGCTAACGAAAGCCACAGGGAATCAACTTCCTACAACACTGCCCAGGGCCCCTAAACGTACCTGGAGCCCACCAGGGAGGTGGCGGTTTCTGACTCCATTTTACAGGAAAGAAAACTGAGTCCAGGAGACACTGCCTGGTGTTGGTGAGGCCGTGCAGCCCGTTGGAGGTGGAACCAAGACGTGAAATCCAGCTTTCTGAAAGCGTGGGGGACTTTCAGCCCATGGCCGGGGTATCCGCTCTGCAGCCGCCCCGCCGCCCCGCCAGGGCTGTGTGGGCCCGGAGGGGATCAGCAGACCCCCGTGTTCCCAATCTAGCAATGGCGCCTCCTCAGGGTTACCTCCTGGGCAAGGCCACCCCCAACCCCGCCTCTCGGGAGCAAGTGACAGAAAGGGAGTGCATGTGGGGCTCCATGCGTCACGCCACCAGGGCTCTGCCCGTGTTTGGGAGCGTCTGCCAGGAAGATGAATCTCAGCACTGCGTTTGTCGGCCGGCAGCTCTGAGCTGTGCCAAAGCTCTTCCCTCCTGCACATGCTGTTCTCACAGCTCATCCCACGGCCCCAACCTGCCCCCTCCTCGCCCCGGGCCAGCCCCATGGATTCCTGCTCTTTTGGCTACGATTCAGCTCCAGGGTCACGGCTGAATCACGCCCCAACCACACCTGTCGGGCTTGTTCGCCGCTGAATCGCTGACATCTGACACGTCGGTGTTCAATAAATATTTATGAAATGAATGTGTGGGTTGCATCCTCCTGAGGAAGTCAGAAGAGCCGTCTAAGGATGGAGCAGGGTGCAGGCCCTCCGGGAACACCGAGCTGAGTCAGCTCCTGGTGCGGCCCCTCGCTGGCTGCGTGGCGTGGACACGGCGTGTCCCTGCTCTGGGCCCCGGCCGCCGCGTCTATACGGTAGACGGGAATCACAGGGCTCGTCTGACCTCAGCGATTCAGCGGTCAGTAAGCCAGACAGGTCTGCGGACATGCTTCAGCATGCTCCAGAAAGCAGCGTCCTTTTATCTGAGGAGCAGGGCTTCATCCGCCTGGCCTGGTTAGGGTCAGGGGATGAGCTGTGTGATGAGCAGCGAACGAGATCATGAACATGGGTGCTTCATAAGCGTTAGTTATATTCATGAGAATGACACTACATGCACCACAGAGGCAGTGTGTGAAGAAGTTTCTAGAAGCCCGGGATTAATGACGGGGAGTAAACACCATTCTCTCTTCATTACAGTATTTCACAGCCCCATGAAGAAGTTTCTAGAAGCCCGGGATTAATGATGGGGAGTAAACACCATTCTCTCTTCATACAGCCCCACCTCTGCCTTGATACAAAAATCTAATTTTTAAACATCATATTAAATGTGTAACACGTGCGGGGTTTAAATTCGAGACACACTTTACTCAAGACGTGCCTTGAGCCATGGCCACTTTCTCCCCAGCTTTCTGGGGAAGCAGGTTCCGAGACATCAGGAACCGTCGTGAAGCCTGGCTGGCTCAGGGTCGCGAGTGCGGGGCCCCACGTTGGACTTAAAATTTTTTTAAATCAAAACAATAAAAAGGAACCAGGTCTGGGGCATTAATGTTGACTCTCTGGGCAGGAACTGCCCCTACGTATGTTCATGGTCATTTGCACTGATGACAATGACCCAGTTCACGTGCCATGAGGGCCGACGTGCTCCTTCCGGGGCTCAGTCTTAGCTGAGTCAAGAAGCCCTAG